AGATGAGTTCCTACGAATGCATGAGGAACCCGATGATGAGGTTCAAGAATCGGTTTTTTTAACCTCATTTATTTTTTAGTCCTGGATGCCTTCCCATTCCATTCACTTAGACTGTAGGTGTATTTGATTTTCCTGAATGCCCATGTAATCCGCATAGCTCCCAGACCGGAGAGAAGCCAACATTTCACGTGGTTTTGTATGATTTACTGTATCAGTTGCTCCAGAAATATCACACATACACACACACACACACACACACATACACACACACATACACACACACACACACACACACACACACACACACACACACACACACACACACACACACACACACACATACACATACACACACACACACACTAGATAAAGATAGTCTATTTAATATAGGGTAGATAAAGACAGTCTATTTAACACAATGGGAACACGCACAAGGGGACACAGGTGGAAACTGAGTGCCCAAATGAGCCACAGAGATATTAGAAAGAACTTTTTTAGTGTCAGAGTGGTTGACAAATGGAATGCATTAGGGGATGATGTGGTGGAGGCTGACTCCATACACAGTTTCAAGTGTAGATATGACAGAGCCCGATAGGCTCAGGAATCTGTACATCTGTTGATTGACGGTTGAGAGGCGCAACCCCCGCAAACACAACTAGGTGAGTACACTCACACACACACACACGTGAATTCGGCCTTGTCGACGGTGAGGTCGCAAATGCACTTCCGGACCACACGACACGATCTGAATATCTATGAGATGACACTTCTCACAAGACAGTCCACCAACTGGCAACCGGAAGCGGGCCAACCTCAGGGTGTTTCGTGTCAATGCATGACACAAATATAGTACCATAGAGGGAGGTTCATAACATGTCATACCATGAATGTTTGGCACCTCTGCACTTGTCATGTTTTTGTGCACACCATTCTATAGGCATATTATGAACAAATACAGTGGAAGTGTCTTGATATAGTGCCTTGTTTTTGTAGCATAGCAGCAGAACATTATATATATTGATTAAACCGACAAAGATTGGATTGGGAAGTAGCTTATACTTCCGTAAATCTTACCATCTACAAGTGCAAGACAGAACTGCCTCTTTACACCCCACTTACTGCCCCAGCGACCAGTAAGAACACAGGACAACAGTACTCAGTTTTCTCGTCAACATATATAACACCTCTTCTCATCCTACATAAAATATACAGTCACTTCTGAGAGATCAATGTTCAACTTCTTCCAGGTGAGGATCATAAGGAATTTATAGGAAATTCGTTCTTAAAATTAATCTAACCCTTTCAAACATATTTAGCAACACACGCACACACACACACACACACACACACACACACACACACACACACACACACACACACACACACACACACACACACACACACACACACACACATACACACACACATCACTTATTAGGCAGTGATGTGGTGGAGGCTGACTCCATACACAGCTTCAAGTGTAGATATGATAGAGCCCAGTAGGCTCAGGAACCTGTTTATTACTTGATTGACAGTTGAGAGGCGGGACCAAAGAGCCAGAGCTAAACCCCCGTAAGCACAGCTAGGTGAATACAGCTAGGTGAGTACACACACACACACACACACACACACACACACACACACACACACACACACACACACACACACACACACACACACACACACACACACACACACACACACACACACACACACACACACATTTCTGGGAGAGGAAATTCTTCAGGAGTCAGAGAAGGAAAAAGACTTGGGGGTTGATATCACGCCAGACCTGTCTCCTGCAGCACATATCAAGCGGATAACATCAGCGGCATATGCCAGGCTGGCCAACATACGAACGGCATTCAGAAACTTGTGTAAAGAATCATTCAGAACTTTGTATACCACATATGTCAGGCCAATCCTGGAGTATGCAGCCCCAGCATGGAGTCCATATCTAGTCAAGGATAAGACTAAACTGGAAAAGGTTCAAAGGTTTGCCACCAGACTAGTACCCGAGCTGAGAGGTATGAGCTACGAGGAGAGACTACGGGAATTAAACCTCACTTCGCTGGAAGACAGAAGAGTTAGGGGGGACATGATCACCACATTCAAGATTCTGAAGGGGATTGATAGGGTAGATAAAGACAGTCTATTTAACACAAGGGGAACACGCACAAGGGGACACAGGTGGAAACTGAGTGCCCAAATGAGCCACAGAGATATTAGAAAGAACTTTTTTAGTGTCAGAGTGGTTGACAAATGGAATGCATTAGGGGGTGATGTGGTGGAAGCTCACTCCATACACAGTTTCAAGTGTAGATATGACAGAGCCCGATAGGCTCAGGAATCTGTACACCTGTTGATTGACGGTTGAGAGGCGGGACCAAAGAGCCAGAGCTCAACCCCCGCAAACACAACTAGGTGAGTACAACTAGGTGAGTACACACTAGGGTGAAACTTAGATCTTAAATGAATTTGGAATTTTTTTTTATGAAAATAAGTAAATAGAGATATAGCCAAATTTTATGAGATGTGTGTCGACAGCACACAAAACTTATGCCACCTATATTAATTATTCCAGTTAAAAAATATTAAACTGTATAAATTTTTGGAATGAAAATTCCCCCAAAAATGGAATCAATACAAGAAGAGGCCTAACACTCAAACATACCAGCAATAAAAACCAGCTATCTACACTTCAGTGAGAAGAGAGGCAGAAAGACATTTTGAGAAAGAGATAGTGGGAAGATGTAAAACAGAACAGGCCTATGCTATATATTAATCAAAAGCAAATTGCAGGTTAAGGATCAAATCCCGAGGCTGAATATGGTTAAAAAAGATTCGCGAGGAATAAAAAGGAAATGTTTTGAAACACTAAAGGAAGAGACAAGATGGTTTTCCAACAGAAAGATCCTGTATAAGAAGTTGACTTAGTCTCGATGACCAGACCACACACTAGAATGTGAAGGGACGACGACCTTTCGGTCCGTCCTGGACCATTCTCAAGTCGACTTGAGAATGGTCCAGGACGGACCGAAACGTCGGCGTCCCTTCACCTTCTAGTGTGTGGTCTGGTCATCATACTTTAGCCACGTTATTGTGACTCATCGCCTTGACTTAGTCTCTTTGATAGAGCCACAAAGATTTTACAGAAAGAGATGGTTGGGTTGCATACATTTATCTGGACCCAAACATAAAGGCTATTGTCAGAATCCCACATATATGCTCACCTAGTTGTGCTTGGGGAGGGCTGAGCTTCGGGTTTCTTAGTCTTGTATACCTGTATATTGTTTCCATATGGTATATATACCTGTGCCGTTTTCACATGGTGTTTCTTGGCGCAGCAAGACGCAAGATATTGACTGGACGTTCTCTAGAGGACGTCCAGTCCTCACCCTTATCGTTGAATATTTTTAAACAAGAGTAAAATAGAAAGAGGAAAGGTGAGGAATGGCACACATTGCAAGGGAAGACAATATTAGACAAAGATTGATGGCTTCGCAGCATGTTACCTGTGACATAGACCGAAGATAGATTAGCAAGCATGCCTCACCGTCTGGCCCACGTAAGCTAACGTGTCTAGACGTTGTTTTATCGTCGTGTAACACACGAGGAAACAGAACAAAATATAGAAAAAGCCTCGTTGCCATTGGGGCTTTCAGAGTTTAAATCGGATCAGTATACGGAAGGAGTCAGAGAGAGAGAGAGAGAGAGAGAGAGAGAGAGCAAGTGAAGACTAATGTCTCATTAAGATGTCGTTAGGATATGTGTCATTAAGATACGTATCTACACAAGCTCATCAAAAGTTGATTTAACGGCAGAATGTACTTGATGAAACAGATTATTGTTATGACAGAACCGTGAAGGGACGAATGATGACCATTTTGCTACCAGTGACACACGAGGTATGCTGAGTGATGGGTGACAGCATGTTGCATAAAGGGTGTTTGCAACACCCGCACCCATACTACAAAATGGGTGGTTGTTGCATGGGTGGCCGCCTGGAAAACGATACATCTTGTACCCTAAATTACCCACCTGCCTCCAAAAACCAATAATGCTGAAGGATTAACGAGATACTTTGTCAAGTTTGTAATTATGCCTTGAGAGCTTTCAACAAGTGTTCATAGAAAGATATTCCCATGGACTCATTACCACGTATATCTGGTCCAAAAACATGCAAACCCAATGAGCACTCAATGCAATGTCACTCAGATAACTGGTATATCATGCGTTAGCAATCAGAGCATTGATCATCAACATATTTTGTTCCATAATAACAGACTTAAAAATACAGGGATTCAATGCATGGTAGCTAAGCACACTGGTACACTATCGGTACATTAGTACACCCCTCGGTACACTGGTACACTCTGTGTACACTAGTACACCCCTCCGTATTCAGGCAAGAAATCAATTTAGTAAACTCAAACCCGCTACAAAATGATCTTGACAGGTTTGTTCATAACTACCAAATGTATTTTAATGCTGAAAAAATGTTGGGTTGTTATCTTAGGTAAAGATAACACAGTTACCAGATATCAGTTGGACAATATTGAAATTGTGAAATTTGAATGGGAAATAAATCCGGGTGCCATGATTAGAATAGATCTTAAGCCATTGCATAAGTGAAGCGAATAAAGTAAATAGAATAATGGGATTTATTTATCGAAGTGATAGCAATAAGATTACTAATATCTTGCCCCTAGTTAAGCCTCATTTAGAGTATGAATTTTACCTCTGGCCTCCGTGCCATCGAATAGACATAAAATCACTTAAACGCTTATAGAGAAGTATGATATATTTAATCCAAGGATTAAACCCCAAAATTTGTATGATATATTTTCCCCTTAACTTCATGGTTTGTGTGTGTTGATGAAACGGATGTGTGAAGTAGTCATACAGTGATAGTGTAAGAGCGGGAAATTGAAAAAAGAAGGAGATACGAGAAAGAAAGGGGGGAAAGATATTGGAGAAAGGGGGAAGGATGTGTAGAGATGAAAGAAGTGGGAGAGGAAAGGAGGTACGTACATTCCATTTTTTTCTTCTTTCTATCCTCCTTCTTCCTGCGGAGCCTATGTATCTATGCCCCTTACTTTCTCAATTTTGAAATTTATCTTGTTTATCAGACATTCACTCGCTTTAATACTCTAACTTTACGCTACCAAAACTAGTAAGAATTGATGGTCACAGAGAATGTTATTGCTGAAAATAAGGTTTCTGTACTACCTCTTTATGAAGCTATTTTCAATGGGGGAATTCGTGTATTTTGTTATATTCCCATTTTCAATGGTGGAATTAGTGTATTTTGTTGTATTCCCCATTTTCAATGGTGGAATTCGTGTATTTTGTTGTATTCCCCATTTTCAATGGTGGAATTCGTGTATTTTGTTGTATTCCCATTTTCAATGGTGGAATTCGTGTATTTTGTTGTATCCCCATTTTCAATGGTGGAATTCGTGTATACAATAGGTATAATTCATCTTAAATTCACAGTATTCCCAAAATATTCAGGCATCTTGATTACAAAATAAACGTCGCATATTATGTGTGACAGGAATGGCCGTATTATTCACGAGCTTAAAACTCTCCGTGCCGAAATAACCATGTTAAGCAGGCGTTCGCTAATGGAATGTGAGCCTGAACGAGAGGTTTCGCTATTTTACGATATTTCACACTCCTCGCTATGTATCAGAGTTATGTTATGGGGTACTAATTACTGCTTAAACCCACGTGTTTCGGGGCCTCTTGCGATGAGTCAAGTCGAGAATGCAGGCAGGTGCAGCAGGCCATCCTTGGATCGTGGCTCACGACACACCACACTTTTCACGCTTATAAAGTGGTTGGGTACCATTCCTTCACGCTTCCAAAGTGGTTGGGCACCATTTCTTCACGCTTCCAAAGTGGTTGGGCACCATTCCTTCACGTTTCCAAAGTGGCCAGGCACCATTCCTTCACGCTTCCAAAGTGGTTGGGCACCATTTCTTCACGCTTCCAAAGTGGTTGGGCACCATTCCTTCACGTTTCCAAAGTGGCCAGGCACCATTCTTTCACGCTTCCAAAGTGGCCGGGCACCATTCCTTCACAGGGGCTCACAACGGCAGAATCAGATCCTAAAGTTTTCCCCTTTGTCAGAGCTTTTGTCCGAATATGTGAAGCCTTGTATCCCTATCTATATGATGACAATATCCGTACCGACTGAATGCAATTCACGAACGTCAACTGCAGGATCGGCAGTTAGCAGGGACCCGAGTCGGGATGGAATGGGGGATATGGATTCCAATCATTCATTTACTTTCTTAATGTCACTACTGTCAGCTGGCCTGACTGCTTTCCCTCATTTCAGTGTGCTGTTTTTTATTTTCAACACAACTCTGGTGTATTTCTTGGAGGGGGGAATGGTCGTGGGATGGTGGGAGATTTCTGTTATATTCGTCCTTGGGGATGCTGGCCTGCTGGTGCGGGGATTCCCACTCCCTTCTGAGGTTACTGGAGATACTGATATGCGTTACTGCATGGTAGAGTTATAACTGGAAGAGAGGGCCCTGAATAGCCAACGTTATTCTTGATTTTGACCAGACCACACACTAGAAGTTGAAGGGACGACGACGTTTCGGTCCGTCCTGGACCATTCTCGACCATCACAATCGACTTGAGAATGGTCCAGGACGGACCGAAACGTCGTCGTCCCTTCATTTTCTAGTGTGTGGTCTGGTCAACATACTTCAGCCACGTTATTGTGACTCATCGCCTGCGTTATTCTTGATTTCTGTTAATTCACTTCCTCTTGCCAGTCTGCCTCTGCTGACTTTCAGGGAACACATTAGTACTTGATGTGTCCAGGTCTGTATACAGAGTCCGACCCATAATCAGTCGTTTCTTATCGCAAATCTACTTTCTTGGAACATTTTATTGACGACTGGATATTCAGAACGCAAGCGGAACATCTTACATGGCAGCCCGTCCTTCTAAGGTTTTCCAACGTCATGAAATTGTCGTACTAAAGTGCCCATATCCTAACCTACCAAACGACCCAGGACAGTATGTCATTTTCGCGAGCCGTGCTATTTTCTATTACGCCAATTTTTGGCCATAGGTAGAGTATATGTGAAGTATATATACGACATATATGTATATATATATATATATATATATATATATATATATATATATATATATATATATATATACGACATATATATGTATATATATATGTATAGTATATATACGACATACTATTAGGAGAACGGGTTGTATATAGGTGCAGGTTCAGGTTTCTGAAGGCAGTTCTGATGTTAGTCACCCTCGCATACGCCGCCGATGTTATTCTTTTGGTGTGGGCTTCAGGAGACAGGTTTGGTGTAATATCAACTCCTAGATCTTTCTCTGTCCGTTTCGTGAAGGACTTCACCTCCCATTCGGTATCCAGTGTCTGGCCTTTTATTTTTTCCATCTGGTTTCACTTCCTTACATTTACTTGGGTTGAACTTTAGTAACCATTTGTTGAACCATTTATTCAGTTTGTCTAGGTCATCTTGTAGCCTTATACTATCTTCCTCTGTCTTAATCCTCCTCATAATTTTTGCATCATCAGCAAATATTGAGAGGAACGAATCTCTTCCCTGTGAGAGATCACTTACATATATCAGGAACAGTATAGGTTCAAGGACTCATCACTGTGAGACTTCGCTGGTGGCGCCTCGCCACTTCGAGGCCTCACCCCCTCACAGTGACTCCCTGTCTTCTGTTGCTTAGGTACTCCCTTATCCAGTGGAATACCTTCCCTTTCACTCCTGTCTGCATCACCAGCTTGTACACTAGTTTCTTGTGTGGTACTGTGTTAAAAGTTTTCTGGCAATTCAAAAATATGCAGTCTGTCCAGCCCATCTCTTTCTTGTCTGATGTTTGTTGCCTGGTCATAGAATACATTTAATCTTGTGAGGCATGATTTACTATCCCTGAACCCATGCTTATGTTATGTTTCAAAGTTTTTTAGATCCAGATGTTCAAGTTTTTTTGCACAATTTTCTCCATCGTCTTGCATGGTACCTTAACCCTACGTTGACCACTCAAACATCAGTACAATGTGATCACTAATTCCCACGGGGCTTCGAAACCGATTTCCCTTTTGTCGGAGTCATTCAGAGTAAAGACTAGGTCGAGTCTCGCTGGTTCATCGTTTCCTCTCATTCTTGTGGGTCCCCCCCTGACATGCTGACTAAAACGTTTCTTGTCGCCACTTCTAATAGTTTAGCTCCCCATGTTTCCTCACCTCCGTGTGGTTCCTTATTTTCCCAGTCTATCCTTCCATGATTGAAGTCCCCTTTGAGGAGTAGATGCGGTCTATTTCAACAGGCGGCAGAAGCTGCCCTCTCAATTATAGTGTTAACTGCCATGTTGTTTCTGTCATACTCTTGCCTGGGTCTTCTGCTGTTTGGTGGAGGGTTATATATCACTGCTACTACTACTCTTGGTCCTCCCATCGTTATGGTGCCTGTTATGTAGTCTCTGAACCCCTCGCAGCCCGGGATAACCATCTCGAAACTCCATTCCTTTTTTTATCAGTAGAGCCACTCCTCCTCCTCTCCTTCCTTCCCTTTCTTTCATAATTACAGTGTAGTCCTCAGGAAACAAATCATTCGTTATGATTCCTGTGAGTTTTGTTTCCGTGAGTCCAATTTCATCTGGGTTCCCTTCTTGTGCTCTTTCCCTAAGATCACTTGCTTTGCTTGTAATCCCATCTATGTTCGAGTACATTACCTTGAAACTGACCCTCTTCTTATCATCCTCGGTTTCTGTTGATTCCACTGGAGTGAGGGGAGACAAGGGGTGTCTGAGGGTGGGAAGGGGCTTGGAGGATCCGGTATGGGGAAGTTAGGAAGGTCTGGAGTGGTGTAGCTGAGAGGGTCTGGGGTTGGGGGTCAATTAGGGCATGGGGTGGGGGAGCAGGAAGGGCATGTGGAAGTGGGGGGGGGAGGGGAATTGGGGAGCATTGGTTGGGGAATGAAGGGGAGCCTGTAAGTCAGGGGTTGGGGAGGGAAGGAGAGCCTGGAGTTGGGAGGGCAGGAAGGGAGGGAGGTGTGGTAGGAAGGAGGATAGCTTGGGGTAGGGGTATTGGGGAGGGCATGGGTTGGAGAAACAGGGGGGAAAAAATGGAGTGTGGGAATAGGAAGGGCCTGGGGTGGGGGAAGGGGTTGGGGAAGAAGGGCATGGGAGACCTGGGGTCAGAGAGCAGGGGGAGGGGATGATCTGGAGAGGGTCTCTACTGTTCGGGAAGGTGCAGGTGATTGGGGGGGGGGTGAAATAGTCGTGGGATAGTGGGAGGCTTCTGTTATTTTCCTCCCTTGGGATGCTGGCCTGCTAGTGAGGGTATTCCCACTCCCCTCTGCGTTTACTAGAGATACTGAGCCGAGTCCTGTCTTGAACGGCTCCCCCGTTCTCATCCCTCCCCTTGCTTCTGCAGCCTTCCTTCTTTCTTCCCTCGTCATGTCCCTCTGCAGAAAAACGTTTTTGTATTCCCCTAGTCTCATAAGTTTGCGCTTCCTGGACAGGATTTCCTCTTTTGTTGCCTCGTTCGTGAGCAATAACTTTACCAGTCGTTTCCTTTCCTTCTTGTAGCTTCCCATCCTGAAAACCTTCTCTATGCTGCCATTAGCCTGTAACATATCCAGATCCTCCAATATCTTTGTCGCCATTGCTCGGTCCTTACTTCTCCACTCCTAGTTGGATCCTTCCGTGTGTGTGTGTGTGTGTGTGTGTGTGTGTGTTTAAAACTACTTATCTGTGTGTATGTGTGTGTTTTCTATAAGTGTGAGTATATATATATATATGTATCTATGAGTGTTTCTATAAGCGTGTACGCATAATACCAAAAGCATCGCTGAGTTCATATCAATAATACTAATACACACAAAAAACATAATTACATGACATATCAAATGAACAAATCCACAAAGGTCTTGATGAGGGTTCAAATAATTTGAAGCGTAATAATTCGAACCCCCCATCAAAGCTCTTGTGGATTTGTCCAATAATACTAATAATAAAAACTTGAAAGAGCCTCATTGGCCACTCCTTACTCCGCAAGTAATTGAAATAACAGTTTAATCACCCGAAGTTAGGTACCTCATTAACATACGCACCACCTGTCGAAGGTGGCCTTGTAGCAGTCTACTTAAGTTGATCGGTCCTCACAGTTGCTCGGTCACTTGGGTTCAGAACGCTGTCCCTGTCACAGTCACCTGACCAACCATCCAGTTGAGCATCTCAGCCAAGCTTGCTGCATCCAGCCTACAAACCTTATTTTGTAGGTTAAAGTATTATTTTTAGATTATATTGTTAATGCAACATAGATCAACGATACGGTTTTGTGTGATCATTATATATATATGCAACTGAAAGCTCCACACCCCAGAAAGATTCGAACCCTGACAGCCAGGAGCACTATGCACCTTGGCGTACATGGTACCTTAATCACTACCAGGTACGGCTTACTAAATTAAAGTCGGTTTTAAGGTATCAGGTACGCCAAGGTGCATAGTGCTCCTGTCTGTCTGGGTTCGAATCCCTCTGGGGTGTCGAGTTTTCAGTTGCATGCATATATATATATATATATATATATATATATATATATATATATATATATATATATATATATATATATATATATATATATATATATATATATATATATATATATATATATATATACCTCTACCACCATCCTCAAAAGCTCACAAGCAATCCAGGTGGGATGGCCCCATTGTAGACCAAGTTGCTGCAGAGTGCTTGGATGACTCAACAACACAACACGACATTGCTCGCCTCACAGCAGTAGCAGCCCCACATGCAGGGGATTTCCTGTTAGCAACCCCAATGTCGACAACTGGCACGCGTCTCACACCACACGCCCTCCGAACTGCTGTGGCCCTCCGCCTTGCTGCCCCAATCCACACCAATTATAGATGTATTTGCGGCGAGGTGATGGCTGACAGCTATGGCCACCATGGCCTACTCTGCCAAAGCACAGGGGGATGGCACTCGAGGCACAGTGAAGTTAACGACATCATCAAGAGGAGCCTCACCACAGCTGGATGCCCAGCTGAAAGAGAGCCCCGTTACCTAACTCCCCGTAACTCTGATGATTTTATTGGTAGCCCAGATAGTATCACAGTGAACCCCTGGAAGGATGGCAAGCAGTTGGTATGGGACTACACGTGCGTATCAACCCTGGCTAACACCTACATTGGCTTCAGTGTTGTATAACCAGGTTGCGCTGCCACTCACAGGGAATCAGCCAAATCCCGTAAGTCCAGAGAACTGGATCACCACTACAATTTTGTCCCCATTGCTTCTGAGACACTCGGCGCCTGGGGTGAGTGCCACCAGTTTTTTGAAGGAATTGGGTTCTAGGCTAATTGAAACAACAAGATATCCTAGAGCTGCCAGCTTCCTTTTCCAGCGTTTCAGCGTGGCGATACAGAGAGGAAATACACACTGCATTCAGGGTTCCTGCCCGCCATCTGAGGAGCTGGGGGAACTCAACAACTTACGATAATCATCTTTGTACCATATATATAACTCCATTGTTGTAACCAAATTTAAATAAAACAAATACACATGTATATATATACAAAAGAATGAGGATGGCAAGAGAATAAAATATTTAAGTGTTCAGTGAGAATCCACAAGGTCTTCTCTGAATACTCTTTATTGTCCTCTCTGAGACTATGGGTCCCTCATTTGTTAGATTAATTCATTCATTTGTTAGATTAGATTCATTTGTTATTATAAATGTTATTAGGTAATGAACTTATGCACAATAAATTCTCCTCACACAGGCTAAGACACCAGCGTCCCGGAGGCCTCCGGCCGATGATATCAACATGAAGACCATGAATATATTTGTGCTTATGATGATCTCAGCTGCTGCTGGGGTAAGAACTCCTCTTCTGGCTACACGTTTTCTCTCGTTCACTAATTCATCATCTTCATCTTCATCCCTCACTGACTCATTACCACCATATCTCTGGTAGAATACCATTTCCAATGTATGCTCCTCCTTCTGTTCAGTGATGAGTTCGTCTAACTGAACCTCGCTGGTACAAGTGTTCTTTTCATCTTAATATTATGTGAAGATGTGATCAGTGAATGCTGTGTTGACCAACAATCAACACTCACGCAGCAACAGCTTTCAAGTCCCCTCTTTATCCCCCACGCTAAAAAAAAAAAAAAACTTAGAGTGCCCACATACTGTCAAACTGTCGGCTCAATATGCACATGTCAGTTATAATGATTGACGAATGATAAATTTTAGACTCCAAAAACAACAGTTATAACCTTAGAAAAGCCTTAAGTCGTGCGAAAATGCAGACGTAACCCAGCTACTCCAGAATGTTCGTTCAGTCCGTCATCCAAAGATTTCTCAACGTCAAGAAACTGTTTCGACTTTCTTCACAAAATAAGAAACTTTGGAAAATGAAATGATATATATTTTGTATAAATCTTCATTCTATCTCGTATATTTTAGAGTCCCTGAAATACTTAATAGTGTTCTCATACGAATTTATATCAGAATCTGTGACACTTCAATGCTTGGACGGTATGACTACAGATCAGCATTGAGAGCCCTAGTGAGTGTGTGGTCGGTGGTGGAGAGTGTGTGGAGGTCGACCAGTGCCCCTCAGAAGCTGCCCTATCGCCCCCTTGCCCCGACAACCAAGTCTGCTGCAGTCTTCCTTCTCAGAGAAGCTTGTATTCTGGTAATTGATTGATACCTTGTCTGTTTTCTCCTCTCTTACGTGTCTTTGATATTTTATGTAATAAAAATCTAACGTGATGACCCAATCACAGAGCAAAAAATAGAGAAATGATGACGTTTCGGTCCGTCCTGGACCATTATAGAGTCGATTGTGCACAATCAATCACACTGAACACAATCAACTTGATAATGGTCCATGGCGGACCGAAACGTCGTCCTCTCTCCATCTTCTGGAGTGTGGTTTGGTCATTATATCTTTAGCCACGTTATTGTGACTCATAGTCAATACTCTAGTGTTTATTTACTTCTGTTATATAGTATAGTTACCTTATTATTATATATTTTTTATAATTGCCACCTTTTTGTTATTATTAGTTTCTTATTATCATTAAAAAATTATTTCAAAATTATTACTCAATATAGATTCATTAGAAAGTTGGAAAACGCCATGAAACTTAAATTTGCTGCTCATTTATTTACCCAAGTTACATGAATGTTAACTATTTCTAAGCTTCCAAATGCTGGAAAATGAACACCGGGTACAGATTGCCTTGGGAGCCCAGCTAGTCCCGCTTGGCAACGTGTACACTGATGTTGATAGCCTCCAAAGTGAGGTGCATCAAATGTCCAATTTTAAGTTAACAAACCACCTACCTGTTGACCAGACCACACACTAGAACGTGAAGGGTCGAGGACGTTTCGGTCCGTCCTGGACCATTCTCAAGTCGATTGAGAATGGTCCAGGGCATTTCGATGCGTCCAATGGTTGGGTTGGATGCGTCCAATCCATAAAGTAAGCGTCCTGGACCATTCTCAAGTCGATCGACTTGAGAATGGTCCAGGACGGACCGAAACGTCGTTGTCCCTTCACCTTCTAGTGTGTGGTCTGGTCAACATACTTCAGCCACGTTATTGTGACTCCTCGCCTGCAGACCACCTACCTCATTACCATATGGTTAATTGGTATTAAATTACAGTACATAATTATTATAACATAGTTACTCCGAGCTATTTTGCTTAACCAAATTGCAATAATTGTTATAGTATTATGCATTGAAACACTTTATACCTCCTGGAGCACAGAACATAACTGTAGATTAATAATTAGGTTACCAATAACTTCACAATGCACGTTGTTTTCAGAGTAAATTTTCAAAGAAAAAAACCCTCACAGCAAGAAAACTGTCGATATACAATTATATTTCAAGAAACCGAGCACTTATGAGAGTGTATTTAACTTTATTCATTTGATTAATTGATTCACTTGACTAATCGTCTAACTTTTCTGAATATTCAGGATCTTTGTGTGATCTTCAGACCAGCGCCTGTACAGCTAAGGGCGGACACTGCTGCTTATCGTGTCACATTGATGAAGAGCCAGTCTATAGCCTCTGCTTGGGGAAAGACTGCACCTGTTGCGTACGAAGTATGTTTAACTCCCCTCTCATGTTTTCATATAGGGACCGGATTTCATACAGATGTTCTAACTACAAGTTAGAACATCTACAAGTCCTTGTAGCCACTGTAGACCTCTTTCATACAGGGTGGTCTACAGGTTACAAGTTAATGTGATTTCTCTGAGTATAGGTCTGAAAGTTCTTAATTTATGCTTCTTAACTTTTTGCAGTGAGAACTATTTATGTTTTCGTGAAGGAGTTACATTGCAAAATCTTCATTGTAAATTAAACATTCTTTGCATCCAAGAAAATATATCGATGTTATATATCAAAAAATACCATTCTGGGACAAACTGATATTTTATTATGAATACAAATTTTAATTGTAGATTTAATTGTAGATTTAATTGTAACAGATAAAGCGAACGAGTTATCAATTCCCTAATTGCGTTTTTGACCTTATGAATCTGAGTTTATGAGTCCGTGGGTCAAAGTGAGTACATGGGTAAGAGTGAGTCTGAGATAATTACAGACCCTGAAGGGTTTACTATTCGTGGAAAAAAAAATATTTTCTTAACTACAAGATTAAGATGGTGGTTAGACTATGACACTTTAATGAGAGGTCAATTAAAATATATAGTTTTGTTAGTATAAACATTATAAAATTTTAGGAAAATAGTCAATTCCTCGAAAAACTTCCTAGGTTACAGAGCTCTATTAAAAAGATCAATTCATTTTATATATTTATCAGCTTTGTTCTGTAAATATGGTTTGAATCACACTCTCGAAATGGATTATGATTTACCTGAATTTACCTGAAGACTATAATCTTTAGTGTCATCGATGGGAACAAAATACCGGAGGTTTTTCAAATATTTATTTCTGGGGATTTTTTTCCATCTCTCTCTCTCTCTCTCTCTCTGTCTCTGTCTCTGTCTCTCTCTCTCTCTCTCTCTCTCTCTCTCTCTCTCTCTCTCTCTCTCTCTCTCTCTCTCTCTCTCTCTCTCTCTCTCTCTCTCTCTCTCTCTCTCTCTCTCTCTCTTTCTCTCTCTATCACTCAGAAAGCGTTTAGTTTTTCTGTACTCTTAATTTCCCTAATATACCCGAATTATTAAGCTGTGGTCGAGAGCATTAAAATTTCAATGCATTTCGTAAGAGGACTGGTTGTTAGTGAGAGGCTAGGTTGTGTCCTCTATATGGTAAGGTAAGTTCTTAGGTTGGAACGATTCCTTTTTAGGAAAACCACTTCCCACCTGAAGCTTATATCATAAGTACAGGCTGAAGAATTACCCTGTCACTATCTCAAAAATTTGCACGCACTTTTGACCCTGTGAAGTGTCGTCCAACACATCTCGACGTTTTCCCTTGTTTGGTTTCCCATTAACAGAAAGACTGTTAGGCTTTCAAAGTCTACCTCTTCCCTCCCCTATCTAAGGCGTACGACTGAGCTTCCCAAAGATGCAACCCACAGCAGGTCTCCAACTCCGGGCATCTGCTTTCTGCTTGGTAAACAGAGGGATCAAGTCAGAGGACGCGTTCCTGTGCAGGAATCCCCAATCCGCGACCGTTCGGTTGAGAACCGAATATGTTGATCAGTGTGCTACAAAATATATTGTTTAGCCCATGTGGGACCGATGAGAGGAGAATGTGTGCTCATTTGGTTGTAATAATTGCATACAATTACATTGTATACACACAAAATTATCCTCATGTGATGATTAATGTCTTCCTCGATGATTAATAGAAGCAGAATTAATCATGAATGTAGAAAGCGAATATTTGTATATAATCGTCTTTACTAGTTTTCCTATCTGGGTGAACCAACAGAGGGATCGTGCAACACTCCCACCAGTGCGTGTACCGCCAAGGGCGGCTACTGTAGCAACACATGTGCCGTCAATGAGAATACGTTCTACAATCTCTGCAACACTAAAGACTGCGCCTGCTGCGTTGCAAGTAAGTTTTACTCCTCTGTAATCAATTCAAAATGGTGGATTTTGTTGTTAATAGTAACTAAATTATCCTTTCAACTTACTGCAATAAAATACCTTTAAATTTTTTCCAATATATTATTTAATTATCACCTAACACTAAACCAAGCTATTAAGTATATATATATATATATATATATATATATATATATATATATATATATATATATATATATATATATATATATATATATATATATATATATATATATATATGTATATATTGTTGCATATGACCGAAAGGGCCAGATTAATGATTCTAACACTAATCTTATCGTGTTAGATTCGATTCTTACGTTTTTCTTCACTGTCGGGGGTAATTGAAAAATTAACTCTCCAAAGTTCATTTTCACATTTTTATTTATGGTCTGACGCCAAGAAACGTTCCGTAAGAGACTTCTCACATTTTCAAAGACAAATTTTTATGTACTCCATTTCATGCTTATATTTGGTTTTGGGTGAGGTGATATAACATAAATGTTTTTGGGTGAGGTGATAAAACACGAACCAATGGGTAATCATGGGGTGAAGATAATTGTACATAGTCAGAACACGAATTATTGCGTATTTTCTCTTCTTGCTTCTGTGTTGGTTCGGGGTCTTGAAGTGGGTAGAATATAGTTGTGCATTAATTGACTGTTGATTGCTGGTGTTGACTTTTTGATGTGTAGGGCCTCGCTGATGTCGAGCCGCCTGCTGTCGTTGTATCTATCGATAATTTCTGTGTTGTTTGTTAAGATTTCTCTGGTGATGGCCTGGTTGTGTGAGAAGATTATATGCTCCTTGATGGAGCCCTGTTGTTTGTGCATTGTTAATCGCCAAGAAAGAGACGTTGTTGTCTTGCCTATATACTGAGATCTTTGGGGCTGACAGTCCCCAAGTGGGCATGTGAAGGCATAGACGACGTTGGTGTCTTTCAAGGCGCTCTGTTTGGTGTCTGGAGAGTTCTTCATGATATTTTACTCTCTAATCACTTCCAGTAGAGTTATAAACTTATATATTTATCGAAATCTTATAATAGAATTCTTCAGTAATCATACAAAATTTCAGTTTAGGTTATTATTGGCTTTGCTAGAAAAGTCTTGGATAAGTTAGATGCCTCAAAAGTTTCAGCAAAATGTACAGAATGTTATCAGTATTCCGTTATCTCACGCAATCCGCGTGCATCATACCAATTAATTTTTATACTAAAGCTGCTTGTGAGATCGGTCTAGAGCATTAAAGTAATATTATCACCTTTCATTAAGCGTTAAGTTAAATGTCAAAGGCAGAAATTGAGCTTCATTTAGTGTAGTTCTAAATCGATATTTAACAATTATAAGATCATCATTGTTTAGCTTTTAGTATCACTAATACTAATTTTCATATATCTCTGAACCAACAGAGCCCTCGTGCAACACGCCCACCAGTGCTTGTACAGCCAAGGGCGGCTACTGTAGCGACACATGTACCACAAACGAGAATGCACTGTACAATCTCTGCAACAGTGCAAACTGCTCTTGCTGCGTTAAAAGTAGGTTTTTTGGCTTAGTTTGTTTAAAAGGGTTATTTATGTTTTTTTAAAAGGGTTGTTTAGGTTTGTTTAAAAGAGAATCTATACGCTCTCAATGTATACTTAACTTTAGGCAGCATATAATGTGAGATTTTATCGTGCCAAAGTTTCGCACTTAATTTTTCAAGTAAATTTATATTTTTATTAATTGAAAATATATATAGGTGTTATAAACTGATGAAATATAAATGAAAAAGAAACCCTGATATTTTTTTGTAAAATATATATATCGATTAACGTTCAACATGAAAAAAACACTATATATCCTTTCTTATGTTTGTGTGCCTGTGATTCATTTAGCATTACAGTGTCTGTTATCACTAGATTTTAGACGGCTATATCAATTTCGAAGATTTTTAAAGTTTTATTTTTCGTTAAGATTGACAGTTGCTGCTAAAATAAATATATAAAAATAGGGCAAAATTAAATCAAGCCAACTGAGAGACAAGTTCGTATTATCGTCTATATTTCTAGAAAATTTTTGTATGTTATTTATGAAAATTTAGACTAATTTTGGCACGTTGTTTATCATATGCTTTCAGACTCACTAAATTATCTCCGACCATTATTTAGAAGGGTCAATTCATAATATATAATTTATGATTTGTCTACGTTCGTTCAATTTATAGTGCTTGAATTAGATCTAATAAAATTTTAATAATTTCTAGTGGAGATGAAGAATCACAATAACGTGGCTGAAAAATTTTGACCAAACCATATACTTGAAATTGAAGAGACGACGACGTTTCGGTCCGTCCTGGATCAATATCAAGTCCATTATCACAATCGACTTGAGAATGGTCCAGGACGGACCGAAACGTCGTCGTCTCTTCAATTTCTAGTGTGTGGTTTGGTCAACAAATTCCAGTGGACTTTTAAATTTATAAATATTTCAAATTTTGAACATAAACTTCTTCAGTAATAATACAAAATTTAATTTTAGGTTACTTTTGGCTTTGCTGGAGACGCCTCAAAATTTTTCAGCAAAAGTGTACAGAGTTTATAAATTTTCCGTTATCTCACACATTATGCGTGCATTCTGTCAACTAATTTTTATACTAAAGCTGCTTGTGAGATCGGTCTAAAGCATCAATGAAACATTTTCACCCTTCATTAAAGGGAAAGTTGAAATGTCAAGTGCAGAAAATGAGCTTCATTTAGTTTAGTTTTAAATCGATATTTAACAACTATTATAACATCATCATTGCTTAGCTTTTAGTGTCACTAATATTAATTTTTATGTATCGCTGAACCAACAGAGCCAATGTGCAGCCTTCCCACCAGTGCGTGTACAGCCAAGGGCGGCCACTGTAGCAACACATGTACCATTAATGAGGTTCCTTACTACAATCTCTGCAATACTATAGACTGCTCCTGCTGCGTTCCAAGTAAATTTTATTTCGCTTTCGTAAAAAACATTTGATCTAAATTTTAATCTGAACTTCTCAAATTTTTACAGCAAATTAGAAATATTGTTACTGTCTGAAGTTACACATTGACTTTATGTAAATGTATGTTTGAAGTTAAATAATACTTATTATGTTTAGTGACTGAGAATGCCTGAGGCATCACTTTAGAATTTTATCGGTGTAAACGAACTTGCAGAAAACTAAATTGATAAAAAAAAATGTTTTCCTGTGATAAATATCGGAGACAATCCGGCAAAAGTAAAAGCTGTTTACCAAGAGAGCAAATATATACTTTTTTTATCTGAATTTTCCAAAAGTTAGTGTATAAAATTGCCTGAAATTGCGAAGAAATTAAAACTATCCTAGATTAGCTTCAGGCCAGTAGTATTTGATAGACTGGAGGTACTATATCACTTTTATATATTCTTTTATATATCACTTTTATATATTCTTTTTTATTTCATATTCTTTGAATTTGGTAATCAAAACCCACATTAATATTCTAGGCGGTATTCCAGTAATATACCTAATGAATTATACACATTTACCAATAAGTAATTATTGTACTAAACAATTTATGCATTTGTCATGATTTTATTTTTGACAAATATAGTGTTACTAGGTTTTGCTTAATTAAACTAATCAGAATTTTTATCACCTTTTTGAATTTAATATCTTGAAGCCTGAAGGAACCATCACACTGTTTTTCTCGTGTATATAAGATAAAAAAAAATCATCAAATTATAGAAGTGTCTTTATAAGATAACGTTAACGTGTATCTAAATTGAATTGTAAGGGAGATTCACATTTTCTGTTATCGTATTCACATTGCTGAATTCTATCCAATAATTAGTTCATCACAGCTGCTTGTGAGATCAATCTAGTCTTTATTTAGCATTCTCACTATTAAGTAAACCTAAATTTATGAAGACATGCATAGGGACAAAGCTTCATATGCTTATCTACATTTAACCAATTATTGCACGAACGTCTTTGCTTAGAGTTTACGTACCACTTGTTTGATGTGATTTGGTAAGATTATAGATAATTATTCGTAACTGTTTGCGATGAGAAGTCGAGATTAATCCTATAGCTATAAATACAAAAAAGAAGCCCAGTGAAGCAATACAACTAAATTGAGTTCAGAAGACATTAACAGTGAAGTTAGTGAAGCAATGTCTTTCGATTAATGATAATACTTCTAATCTGAAAAAATCTTTTGGCATTCTAAATATTAATTGTTCAATAATAATTAGAGAATCTTCTGCTCTATTGAGCTAAATAATAAAGTTATCAATAGTCTCTGCACTTTTGATAACTTTATTCTTTTATATCACCTTGACTAATTTTTATTTATTATTGATTCGACAGAGCCATCATGCAGCGCTCCCAGCAATGCATGTAATGCCAAGGGCGGCTACTGTAGCAACACATGTGGCCCAAATGAGGATGCATTCTTCAATCTCTGTTCGTCTAGCGTCTGCTCCTGCTGCGTTCCAAGTGAGTTTCGGAGTTTTATACAAGAAATCTAGCTCTTGAGTTATATTTTTTAAATTTATGCAATGAAAGATTGGTATTCTAAGAATGCAAAACGGTCTACACGAAGTTATATTTTTAGTGTGAATTAATGTTTTCAGTGTGATAATTTCCAAACGAAGTGTTATTAACAAACATATTTGTTGTGTGAAAAACGGTGATAGTTTAGTAAACAAGATTATCATTGTTTAGCATAAATAATACAATTTAGTATTTCGCATCTCTGAGCCTACGAGTCTGTCGGTCTGTATTATTACTCTAGTTTAAAGCTTCAGTGGCTTCGCAAAGTTTGCAGGAAACCGAATCATTGCTTAATGATAAGAATTGTAGGAGGAGATTAGATTTTAGGGCAAATCGATTAAATGAAAATATATTGTAGTTTACTGAACGACCAATGCATACGTTTTTAAATTTCACAATATGGTGACCAAACTACACATCAGAAAATGAGTGACGACGTTTCGGTCCGTCCTGGACCGAAACGTAATTTGCAGGTGAAAAGTCACAATAACGTGGCTGAAAAATGTTGAACAAACCACACACTAGAAATTGAAGAGAAGACGACGTTTCGGTCCGTCCTAAACCATTCTCAAGTCGATTAAATTTCTAGTGTGTGGTTTGGTCAACAGAAACGTCATTTCTTCATTTTCTGATGTAATGTTTACGGCCGCTCCGTAAATCACCTCCCGGGTATGACATGAGGGGAAATGTTCCCGTCGGGAGTAATTTAAATGTGATTCCCTCTACAATGTGAAACAAAATTGTGTTTCGGCAAGCTCTGTAAATCTCTCTTACTCTCTATTTAATATTTGTACCGAGTGCATCTACACGAGTGATGAATGCAAACTATCTATAGATGGTAAATAAATTTTTCTGAGTAAACTAAGTCCAGTTTTATAATTTAACATCAATTTAAATTCTTTGTTTTATTTTACTTGAAATTCATTGGCAAATCAATTTACTGTAAGCTCAATGAAGCATATTTTCGCTTTACTCATCTTGATTTCGCACTAATCTGGCAGAGGCCTTGTGCAGCCTTCCGACCACCGCCTGTACCCTCAAGGGGGGCTACTGTAGCAATACATGTGGCTCAAATGAGAATGCATTTCCGAATCTTTGCATGAGCAGCAATTGTTCTTGCTGCGTAACAAGTAAGTGTTTTTCGATTTCATAAAGTTAGACAGGGTTCTAAATGGTCTCATTTTGTACTTGTCAACTTTACATTTTCGGCGAGAATTATCGTGTTGTTAAACATCTATAATTGTAAGAACACTAATTTAGTAAAAAAGTGTTTACTTCGGCCATTTTTCAACTCAAATTAAACTTCTTACAATTTTTAGCGGTCGTGTATAGTTCTGTGTCTGTGAGTGAAAGTGTCTATGGGACTATGAGTGTGTGTTTTTAAGTATGTGGCTCTGTGATTGTGTAGCTCTGCGAGTGTGGGGAAATTATTATTGTTTGTTTAATTAGTAGAGAACAGATTGTATGAAGTATTACATTTTGTTTAGTTTCGCCACAAATTAAATCGTGTTTGTTTAATGCCATCATTTAATTAATATTTAGACCGTTCTGTGTGTTAAGCTTAGACTCAGAGCTGATTTAGATATTTAATTTATTACCCCTGGGTAAATCAAAATTTGTTCCTATTTATAGTTATTTAATTGATATATGATCACTGGACTGTTTAAATTCTAAACTATAGTTTTCAATTTGTAATTTGAAAGCGTTAGCTGGCAAGTAGAATACGCAGACCTCAACATATAATATGGATGCTCAGTGTAGACGGGCTCACCATCAACCCGTTCTCGACTCAAGTCCATTCCATCCAGCGGTCGACCCCACAGACGCGTTCATAAATTTTTACTTGCTGTTCATTCAAAACGGGAATTTTCTCAAATATAAATTAATATTATAATATATTAGCATACTGTGCCTATATAGGCATAGGTTAGGGGTAGGTGTTTAGGTTCTGTTGGCGATTATTTGTATTTGTAGTACGTGGGTGAAGCATTTACAGCGTTGTGGTTCGAAAAAATTCGTCAGTGAAGCACTTGTTCCGGAAATGTTCAAACGTAATCAGTTGTGAGTCGTTTTTCATTCATAAACAGGGGGTTTGGCGGGTGCATGGAAACACTTTCGGGTCTTTGTTTGGAGGACGGGCTACTCACCATAGCCCGTGCTACTTGGAACTTTTGTTCCAAGTAGCTGAATCTAAAATAACAATAATCCACCACGTAGAAGAACTCGCTGGATCAACACCTTCCTGCCGGCAAAGTTACTATTAGATTAAGTTTAGATTTAGATTTTATTCCATAAAATTATCTTATATAAACAGAAAACTCACATTATCGTCATAAATCAATGAACAAATCCACAGGAGCGTGTCTGGGAATACCCAGTTCGAGATTTCCAGTTTTCTTTTTTTCACCCAGTTTTCATTTTTTTCTTTTAACCTGAATGTTTTTATCGATTTGGCCGAAATCGAGCAATTTAACTCGTAGAAGTTTTTCAGATTGTTTACATACGAAGAAAAAGAAAAATCTGTTTACTGAGTGACCGACTTCTTTTTTCTGAATTTCTTGGTATTTATTGCCTGTACTTATCTTACAATTTTTACAAATATATCTTCTTTGCTTACGGAAAAACCTCTTTAGTCATCTTCACACCTAGCTTATTGAATGTTAAATCCAGTATATGCATTTATTATTATTCTGCCCGTTTATATAAATAAATAGTCGCATTTCGAGAATTTTTTATGAGTTCCTCGGCATCAAACTCGTTATTTTAAAAATATTACTTAAGAAAACATTCTCATATGTAGTAAGTTAGCTTCAGATACACGTCGACAATAGATAAATAACTCTTGATTCCTTAATAAATGCGATAGTGGATGTTCAGATTATCGCTAATTTTATGAATATAAGTAACTAGTTTGGCTGGTTTTGATGATTAAAGTGTCTGTTGACTGAAAATAATAAACCTATACAATACAAAGTTAATAAAAACTTAGTATTGTCCATCCAGCAATTATTTTATCATGTCTTATATGAAAGCCGTCGAAATACAATGGAAAAGTAAACAATTAAATCCAATAATGGTTGAAGCCAATTGATATTTAGTTTATTGTTTATCGCCTCTGTTAATTGTTCATATATTGTTGTACCAACAGAGCCCTCGTGCAACACTCCCACCAGTGCGTGTACAGCCAAGGGCGGCCGCTGTAGCGACAAATGCAGCTCAAATGAGGATCCATTCTACAATCTCTGCAGCACTAACCTCTGTTTCTGCTGCGTTCAAAGTAAGTGTTATTCGCCCCTCGTCAAAGGTTATTGAAACTTTTGCTTTAATGTCAACTTTATACAATAAATGAAAAGTAATCTTTTGGTGAACAAAACCACAAAGGCCATGGCGAGGATTCTAAATTCTTCGGAAGGAATTCCTTCTGAAGATGTATTAATATTCGAAAGTACTTGGGGAAATTCCTGTTTCAATTCTTCCTCCGTGGTCTGACACGGTCACATTTTTTATCACGGGTTAATTTTCGTGATTTATACACACACACACACACACACACACACACACACACACACACACACACACACATATATATATATATATATATATATATATATATATATATATATATATATATATATATTAATATACATAACAGAAAACTCCACACCCCCACAAGGATTCGAACCCAGACATCCAGGAGCACTATGCAGCTGGCGTACCCGGTACCTTAACCACTCGACCACTCGTGACCGTACAAAAGACATTGGTAGCCGAGGCTATATCCCTCGGCTACCAATAGAATCTTTCAATAGAAACTCTCGAATTTCAATAACACAAACAAATGTTAAATTATTAATGCACAAAGAGTATGTTGTTATAATTTATTGTCTCTACTAAATATCGTATGTATGCTGATCCAACAGAGCCCTCGTGCACTATGCCCACCAGTGCGTGTACAGCCAAGGGCGGCCACTGTAACTACACGTGTGCAGCAAATGAGGACTCATTCTACTTTCTCTGCAACTCTATAGACTGCTCCTGCTGTGTTAAAAGTAGGTTATGCACTCCATTCGTCATTTTATAAAGGGAATCTAGAAATTTTAATCTATTGTTCTCAAATTTTATATATTTACTTTTTAATATAAATTTAAATTCATGTTTTTAGCGATATAATATACAAATCACGTGGTATGAAGAAATTACAATTGTTAATTGTTAATCAAACTGATATTTTAGTAAAACTACATATTTCGAATATAGGTCAAAATTATTGTGGAAATTATAATTTTAGTGTGAATTGAACTATTACTAATATTCTATAGATTCTAGAGCGTAACTTGCTTTACCAATTTTGCATAAAATTAAACTAATACTTAACGATACTCCATGTAGGTGTTAGTCAGATACCGCCAAAAATCGTTCAAACGAAAAAGGACTTTGCTGGAAGTGTATAAAGTGATTGAGATTTTCAGAAGTATGTCTAATCTGATAACCTTCAGACCAGGGTTCGTGAATAATTAAGTAATTGATAACTAGGATTTTTCTCATCATTCAATAAACAAGTAACTGGGGGAGTCAGGTATAGATATATTGCTTAATCTTGCTTATTTTGTGATTGAAAGGAATAAATATTAGACGAACACCATTGGTCTGAATTTGTGAGTATTTGTTATATATATATATATATATATATATATATATATATATATATATATATATATATATATATATATATATATTAATTAAAATCACGATAGGCCTCTAATTATTAGTTTAAATAACTTTTTTAAAACACATGAATAAGACATCCAGTTCAGTATAATGTTTGTGTGTTAAACTAAGCCTTTATTTTGAGCTTATAATATAATTATTCATTAATAATTGTTGTCCAAAAATTCCACATTTGTTCTCAGAATAACACAAAAATAATTGAAATTACCTAGCAAGAAAATTGTCGATATCCAATAATATATCAATAAAAAAAGAAATCATGATTGAAAAAAGGTATTTTAAAGTATATTCTCTATACGAATTCTCATATATCGCTGAACCAACAGAGCCCTCGTGCAGCATTCCCACCACTGCATGTACAGCCAAAGGAGGCCACTGTAGCAACAAGTGTAGTGCAACTGAGGATCCACTCTACAACCTCTGCAATACTGCAGACTGCTCCTGCTGCGTTCCAAGTAAGGTTAATGTGTATGTCACCTATATATATAAAGTGGCTCCAGCTCTTAATTAATACGTTTCAATTATATGTAGTAGATGTTATAATAAATAATAATAAAACGTTTTGCATTGTTCAAACATAAATTAGGTTGGTAAGAATATTTCGACAAGGGCGAAAACTCTCGATTATCAGTGGGAGATTAAGAACACGACAATCATGAAAGAACATATCTTATTCAATATTATATCACACGTCCCGACAGAGCCCTCGTGCAACATTCCCACCAGTGCGTGTACTGCTAGAGGGGGCTACTGTAGCAACACATGTGGCACAAATGAGAATCCATTCTACAATCTCTGCAACACTGCTAACTGCACATGCTGCGTTCAGAGTACGTTTTCCCTCCCCTTTTCGTCATTTTATATATGGACAGGAGAAACTCTGAACGTAGTAAATGAAAAGTATTCTTACTGTAGAAGAATTCAATGGAGTAATTTTAACATAATTGTTATTAAAAATTCGTAGTTTACCACGAGAAACAAAATAATCAAGTATTATAAAATTAAGAAATAATTGTATATGAGAAATATGTTGTGCTTTCTCTTCTTTTAGGGGGGCCTAAAAATGGTATTTGGTGATCGTTATATGCACTGATTGGTATATAAAGTTTCTCGGTGAATATACACTGAGACTGCTTTAGTCCCAGACTATGTACAGGACTACTGTATTCTTAGTGGTTGGTCAATGAGCATTTATGGTGGTCTTAATAACTCTCTAAAGGATGATAGGCACTAAGCCCAACACCAAACCATAGACCTTTTGCCAGATCAAATTTATAGCTGCATTCTCATTATGAATTTGTCCGGACTAATAAATATTGAAGCTATTTTGTTTTTATAATATTGATTTGTAATGTGTTGCTCATGTCTACAACCGTATTTCTGATTCATGTTTAATATTGCATTTTAAATTCTATGCTGTTCCTCTTTTTGTGGAATCTTTTGCATTGCATTCCATATTAATATTTAAGAAGCGAATTCTTACCCGCTGATTACAAAGTTTCTTTGAGTTATAACATTTCTATGCTCTCAACTTTTTTCTTTGCGTGAATTCAAAATCTGAGTCACTTAAAACAGCTTGATTAAATGCGTGATTAGCTTTCCGAATATTTTTTTTAATGATTTAGTTATAAGCAACATAAATTTTGTACGATAACCAAATTGATAAGGCATACTCCATGAGGGATCTGACAGTGGATCAGATTTTATCATATATAACATATCACCCTCTACTGTCGCTAGTAGATATAGCGTCTTCAAGTGGAATAATTCGCGATGATTTCTCTAACATCAAACCACGTGCCATCAAACCATCAAACCATTTTTCATTAGGGAAAATTTCCTATAAAACAATATTCAAATATGATTATTGATAAAGTTGTCACATGCTTGAGCCACACGTCCTCTCATTTATTATTTAATTCTTGATTCTTAAAGTGATTGTCATTTAGATGTTCTAATTATCGATTACATTGTTAGCATGCATAAATAGTATCGATACTGTGTTTATAGACCGAAGATGACAAGTACTCTTCTATTCAGAGAAACACTGAATGTTTGTCGTAAATTAAACCTTAAATATAAATAATTAATATAAAATATTTGCTCTTTTCAGCAATTAATTACGTAATCAAGAGTCTCGTCACTGGTGAATAAACAGTTGATTTTCAACAGGGAAAATATCAAATCATTTAAAAAAAAAGAATTTATATAAAATATCGTCTTTACTAATTTGCATATGTTTACAAATCAACAGAGCCTCCGTGCACTATTCCCACCAGTGCGTGTACAGCCAAGGGCGGCTACTGTAACGACGCATGCGGCGCAGATGAGGATCCATTCTACAATCTCTGCAACACTATAGAATGCTCCTGCTGCGTTAAAAGCAAGTTTTATTTGTGTTTCCTTTTATGCAGTGCAATCTTGAAGCTCTTAATTTATACCTTTCAACATTATGCAGTATATGGTAAGAATGTGTTAATCTATACCTAGTTTATAAATATATATATATATATTAGATGGGGTCCGTGGCAGAGCCCGAGTAGGACGGCTGACGGCTGGGTGGACAGCGCTTTGGATTCGTAGTCATGAGGATCCGGGTTCGATCCCCGGTGGAGGCAGAGACAAATGGGCAAAATGCTTCTTTCACCCTGATGTCCCTGTTACCTAGCAGTAAATAGGCACCTGGGAGTTAGACAACTGCTACGGGCTGCTTCCCGGGGGGGGGGGGATGCAACAAAAAGAAGGCCTGGTCGAGGACCGGGCCGCGGGGACGCTAATCCCCGAAATCATCTCGAGATAACCTCAAGATAACTTGACCCTGTCTCCAGGCCTAGCCCACACACCCTTACAGGTCTCCTTTCACACACATCTTCTCCATTCCCCTCCTCACACACATATACACACACCCTCACATATACACCCTAGAGAATCCTCCCCATTCTCAAAATATACCTTATACAACACACCCTCCCTATCTCCCACTTCACATACCCTCCCAGGTCTCTCCCCTGCTCTCACCCTCTCTTATCTCCCCCTAAACACACCCCTCACCATTTCCATCCCCATAATCTTTATAATCTCCCCATCTCTGCCCACATCCACTCTTAGTCTCCTGCCATATACATCCACCTAAACTTCTCCAAATCACACTCACCCCGTAACTCCTATGTGGCAATCCGTCATCCTAATAGAACGTCGCATTTTGACGTTGTGACGTGACGTATCGCGGCTGTACTGGGCTGGTGTAATATGACTCGCAAATTTCATTAAGCAAAAAAAGTGCCCAATTGCAGTGTGAAAGTCGCACAGGATATAAAGAATAAACAGATAAAAAAATAACACTATTTACTTTAATGTTAAATATGAACTCATGAAAAATTCCTGGAATCCTATTAACATACACTTGGCTAAAACAAGAGAAAGCATAAAAGAATAATATAAAGGATTTATATGAAAGGAAAGCATTTATATAAAGGAAAGCATATATATAAAGGAAAGATTTATATAAAAGAAAACATGAAAGCATTTGTTTATAAAAGAATAACATTAAGACATGAATAAACTGACTTTAATACAAGAAAATATAGATGACAGCGAAAGTATTTAAAAGACACTGAGACCTGAATGCAAAGGGGCGGGGCGGCACACGTCGTATAGAGGAACAGTGTTGAGAACCAGGAACCAGATTCACGAAACAGTTACGCAAGCACTTACGAACCTGTACAACTTTTCTCAATCTTTGGCGGCTTTGTTTACAATTATTAAACAGTTAATGAGCACCGAAGCTCCAGGAGGCTGTTTATAACAATAACAACAGTTGATTGGGAAGTTTTCATGTTAGTAAACTGTTTAATAAATGTAACCAAAGCCGTCAAAGATTGAGGAAAGATGTACAGGTTCGTAAGTGCCCGTGTAAATGCTTCGTGAATCTGGCACCTGAGCACCAAAAGAGACTGCCGTGGTGAGCGAGGACAGGGGGTACTTACACCCCTAATGGTGATGTCACCATCTTTTGTCACTGAGGCTTGGAACTGGAAGCCGGCAGCGAAACTACTAGTTACCCAGATAACAAAAGCCGACAGGAAGACCTGACTGGGGCTCTGTGGCTGGATGGAGGGTGACTGGTGGTGCATTTCAGACGTATGTCTGGCTTGAACGTCTGGGGGCAGATTCACGAAGCAGTTACGCAAGTACTTACGAACGTGTCCATCTTTCCTCAGTCTTTGACGGCTTTGGTTACATTTATTAAACAGTTTACAAGCATGAAAACTTGCCAATCAACTGTTGTTATTATTATAAACAGCCTCCTGGTGCTTCGGAGCTCGTTAACTGTTTAATAATTGTTAACAAAGCCGCCAAACATTGAGAAAAGGTGGACACGTTCGTAAGTGCTTGCGTAACTCCTTCGTGAATCTGGCTCCTGGTTATTATTGTTGTAGATTTAGCTACTCAAAACGAAATGTCCATGTAGCACGGGCTATAGTGAGCCCGAAAACCGAAGATCGTCTGGGGCAGCTGTCGTGTAAAGGTGAAATGCAGAGTGATGTACATGAATGTGAGTAGGAAGAGGCAGTATCCTCTGCTATTATGGGGAATTACTTGACAACTTATACTCTACCTAAAGCCATAAATCGTCGTACTAGAAAATGATAGCGGCTGGAGTAATTGACATACTGTCCCGTCTTCTGTTTTGGGTCCTCTGGTAGGTTAGGAGAGGGCAATTTAGTACGACAGTATTTTTACGTTGGGAAACCTTAGGAGGACGGGTAGAAACCTTGTGTAAGGGCGCAGTTGACCGAGGCATCAACAACACTCTGTATCTATCAAGACACTCGCTATTAGCATTAAGGCACATTCGCATGTTAGCTCTGCTAGTGTAGACTGCAGTGTTAAAGCCTCCATTACGTTCAGACACTTTTACGTCTAGGAAAGGTAGTCAATCCCCACTCTCAAACTCGTATGTGAACCTCTGCATTCATTAGTTTGAATGCATTCTTAAGCCGTAGCAAGTTCTTAATATCAGATACATGCAGGAATATGTTGTCTATATATCTACAGTATGCACTCGGTTGTATACTGTATACATATCTACAGTATACAGCCGAGTGTATTCTGTAGATATGTGCATACTTTAACATTCTTTCCGGCCGTCTAATATGTCTTTAAACATACTTTACGTTATCAATAATATATTATGAAAGGGGGTAAAACTCTCGATTTCAACGGGATATCAATATAGAATTATTCATGAATACATAAACTTTATTTGTATATTTTATTGCATCTACCAACAGAGCCCTTGTGCAACGTTCCCACCAGTGCGTGTAAAGCCAGAGGAGGCCATTGTAGTGACACATGTGGTGTAAATGAAAATCCATTCTCCAATCTCTGCAACACTGCAAACTGCTTCTGCTGCGTTCAGAGTAAGTAATTTTTATGTCATATTTATTGTATGTTAGTGCGAACTCAAAATACATCAAGGTTTATAAACTGAAAAACCAATATTGAGAAAAGTCAAATGCAAAATATTCCTCAGAAAATTATTAAAAATTATATAACATATATTATATGTTTTGCATTATGAACAAAATTAGGCATTTCTTTCTAGAATAGCTGAGGCAGAATTAGATGATGCATTAGAGAACACATGAATAAAGGGTCCTGAAAACGCTTACAGGGAGGTTTAACTTATTCTCTCTCTCATTTGTGAATTTGTCCAGGCTATCTTGAGGGTTATCTTGAGATCATTTCGGGGCTTAGCGTTCCCCGCGGCCCGGTCCTCGACAAGGCTTCCTTTTTGTTTATGATTAACTCTGAATATGAATAGGAATATTATGAATATGCTATGATTAACATTCAAGCTAAATATATATTTATATTCAGTTATGACACTAATTGGCAATACGTTGCTCATTTCTGAAACGCTATTTCTCATCTGTGTTTAACATTATATTATACCTCAGCTTCATGTATCGAATATATTTCTTGATTTTTTCATTTACTGTAACGCTCTTGAAACAGTATCTCTGGATTACATTACTTATTTTTTTCTGAAATATGTTGTATATAATAATGATTAAAATAAGATTTTATCTTTCTCAATTATGTTATTGTCTCATCACTGGTGAAAAAACAAGTTTTAAATTGGATGTAAAAAAAATAGATTATTTACAATCTGTATTTTTATAATTTTTACGAGTATTCTAATGTTCATATTTTCGTAATTCAACAGAGCCCTCGTGCAGCATTCCCACCAGTGCGTGTACAACCATCGGAGGTTACTGTAACGACACATGCGGCGCAAATGAGAATCCAATCTACAATCTCTGCAACACTGCAGGCTGTTCATGCTGTGTTCAACGTAAGCTTACTGCTGCACTCCCAATGTTCTTAAGTCCAGAAGCAACTTAACTTCTGCTAACCCCATTATCCCACTGGAGTAAAACACTTCTTCAGTAAACTTATAAGTACAAGAATACAAATTCATATGATAAATTATATGGCTCATTATCATCAAGTAACAAAATACAGTTCTTACATCATATCTTTTCATTTCATTCCATTTACCTGGGGCCAGATTCACGAAGCATTTACGCAATCACTTACGAACGTGTACATCTTTCCTCAATCTTTGACGGCTTTGGTTACATTTATTAAACAGTTTACAAGCATGAAAACTTGCCAATCAACTGTTGTTATTGTTATAAACAGCCTCCTGGTGCTTCGGAGCTCATTAACTGTTTAATAATTGTAAACACAGCCGCCAAAGATTGAGAAAAGATGTACAGGTTCGTAAGTGCTTGCGTAACTGCTTCGTGAATCTGGCCCCTGGGCTGTATGGGTCTCGAACCCTGGACTTCACGTGTGTGAGGCAGTAGCTCACACGCTTTTCATTTGAGTTGCTAACCAAACTGCAAGCTGTAATATTTTGATATTTTCTCAATATTGATATCAGATTACCACTGTGTTAATAATTTGGTTATTAATAACTTATGAATACGTCTCCTGCATAAAAAACTCAAATAAATAATCTTGCGACATAGCTGACATGAGATTCTGACATGTCGAGAAGTCTGCTCACATGAAATGAGTGTGTGCATATTTTTTACTGTCTATACTACTTTTTTACTCTGAACCAACAGAGCCATCATGCAGCATGACCACCAGTGCGTGTTCAGCTAAGGGAGGCTATTGCAGCAAAACATGTGCCGGAAATGAGAATCCATTCTACAATCTCTGCAATACTGTAGACTGCTCCTGCTGCGTTCCACGTAAGTTTCACTCTCCTATCGTCATTTTACATTTAACTGCCTAACCGCAACTGCCAAAACTCTGGTGAATTTTAATATCCAACTTGAAACAATCATCTGGACAAATGGGAAAGGTAGGGATCTTTGACAAGCCGCCGGCTTCTTGTCCTCGTCGAAGCCAGTTGTGTTATTAGCCCTCAGATAAATTCAGTTAAATCTCTGTCGTTTATAAATAATTTTTGGTTCTAAAATTTATCCTGTTATTCTGATTATCAATTATTTTGCGTATGTGCGAAAACAGTATTGTTATTAAAACTGTTTATGGATTATATATGACAAATATAATAATTATACAAGATAGATATGTTGTCATAGGTCTTATCACTAATAAGCAAGCTGTCAAATATAAATTAGATATAAAAAATTAACTTTGAATTTACAAAATGTATTTATATAATTCACTACATCTGCTTATGTTCATATTTTTTCCGAACCAACAGAGCCCTCGTGCAACACTCCGACCAGTGCGTGTACAACTCTGGGGGGCTACTGTAGTGACACATGCGGCGGTGACGAGAATTCATTTGAGAATCTCTGCAACACTCCAAACTGCTTCTGCTGCGTTAAAAGTAAATTTTTCTCCTAAACCGTCATTTTACATATAGGCTGATCGGTGGGTAATTGAATCAGGTTTAAGAGATATATTTCAAATCATGTGAATAAAAACACTTATAGGGGACCCTCTGAATTATAATGTTGGTCGTATTTTTGTCAGTACTCTGCCATAAATACTCCAGACTAGAACAAATATTTCAACAAGTTTGTTTGAATACACTCTTCAGAAATAGGTTGTCTATATCTACAACTGTATTTCTGATCCATGTTTAACTTTACATTCTCGTGCTTCAGCAGCATGTCCGCCATTTATCATATAATTATTGATTCTTAAACATGAAAAAGACTTAAATCATCCCGCTCTGTTTCCTAATTAATTATATTATCTTCTCACTATATTATCCAAATTAAAACTTATCAGTTTTAAATTGGATATAAAAAATAAACTTTTAATTTACAAAATGTATTTTTTATAATTGACCTCCTCTGCTTATAGTCATATTTACCGGAACCAACAGAGCCTTCGTGCAATACTCCCACTAGTGCGTGTACAGCCCTCGGAGGCTACTGTAGCATCTCATGCGGTGAAAATGAGGATCCACACTACTCTCTCTGCAATACTGCAGACTGCTCCTGTTGTGTTCAAAGTAAGTTTAACTCTCCCTTCGTCATTTTACATACGGGCTGTTGATCTGAAACGAAACAAAAGGTAATTTTAAAACTCTTTAAACGAATGATAATTTGATTGTCGATTTTATTGTAAATTCTTGTTTCTATCATAAAAAATCAAGGTTTATAACCCGAGCAAATAATAGTGTCAAAAATTAAAGTAAAAATTTCCCTTTTACATCAGTCATATATAACAAATATGATGTGTATGCACAGTGGAAAGAATTGGGTATCACTTTACAGAGTATCTGAGGCTGGTTTACCAGATTCATTATAGTACATATGAATAAAGAGTCCCGAAAGATCATCTGGATTATCCTGGCTGGTCAATTTATGCCTGGCACTCTCCCAGTTGTGAATTTGTCCACACTAGGACACTTGCAGACGAGGAGTCACAATAACGTGGCTGAAGTATGTTGACCAATCCACACACTAGAAACTGAAGAGACGACGACGTTTCGGTCCGTCCTGAACCATTCTCAAGTCGATTGTGTGTGCATGATGTAAAGGGGGGACACTTGGTTATATTTTTAAGCTAGTTTAAGTCTAAACACAAATTGGTAATAACCTGGTCGTCTCTAAAGCGGTTTTAATGAAATATTTAACAAATAAAGTATATTTATAATGTAATTCTTTATTCTTAAATTTAACGTTCTGATTTGTAATTACTTTGCGTGTATTCTTAAACAGTATCGTTATTGAAACTGTTTATGGATTAAATGTGATTAAAAAAAATTGTGTGATAAACTAATTATCTACTCATTCCTAAGCAGCATGTTCATCCTTTATAATATAATTCTTGGTTTTTAAATTTACTGTAATGTTCTGTTTATCAATTACTTTGCGTTCGTGCGTAAACAGTTTCGTTATTGAAACAGTGATTACAAATTACATGACATAATTTTTTTAGGAGATATATGAAATACATATTGTGTATGAAAAGAATTAAATATTTGCTTTATTTCATTATTATATTATCATGATTTTTTTTTAACTTAGGCTATGATTCATTAGGACTGTCGATTGAAGTACCAAGTGAACCTGCAAAAATAGTTGTTATCCTACCTCACCTCATCTAAATCCTGCTCCTAGAGACTCATTTATTTCAAGAGAATGTTCTTTGAAAATTATTAGCTATCATTTAAAGAACAGGTGCCTGGTGAAACTGCATGAGCTGTAATCACTCCTCAGCTAAGTTGAACCCTGTGCCTAGAGACCCATTTATTTCTTGAGTTATTATATGCATTATCAAGAATAAACTTTATTTAACTCTAAGTAAATATAATATAAGGAACAGAATGAGTCAAATATGATTATTATGTAAGCCGTGTCCCAGAGCCTTCAAGTGATCAGTTAACCTGATCTGCAGTGTATCAACGTGTCGAGCAAACATTTCCCAGATGCGAAGCCTAGGAATGAATGAACGTTGATGGAGTGATGGTCTTGTCACGAATAAGAAAATTGTAAATTTAAAATTAGATGTAAAAAAAATCATATTCAAAATATGCTATAATAATTAACTGAATTGGATCCAACAGAGCCGTCGTGCAGCATTCCCACGAGTGCGTGTTCAGCCCAGGGAGGCTACTGTAGCGAGAGATGTGGCAATAATGAGAATCCACTTTACAATCTGTGCAACACTGCAAACTGCTCCTGCTGCGTTCAAAGTAAGTTTTACTCCTCATTTAGTCATTTCATATATGCGCTCTAGAAGATGTGATTGCTGGGTAGTTCCAGCAGGTTTAACCGATTCAGTTCAGTAGAGATGAGTATAAATGGTTGTAGGGGGCTTCTGAATTACCCATGGCCAATTATATTAATATCTGTACTCTCACATTTGTGAAATTGTTCAAACTAGGAGAAATATTCAAAACAAGTCTGCATTTATGACACTAATTGGTAATAAGTTGCTCATATCTGCAACTTTATTTCTAATCCGTGTTTAATATTCCATTCTCATATATCATGAGAATGTCTGCCATTTATTATATAATTCTTGATTCTTGCAGTAACTGTGATGTTCTGATAATTAATTTGTGTATATGCGTAAACAATACCGTTATTCAAGCTTATTTCTAACACACTACTTTGTAATAAGTTGTTCATATCTCAAACCTCTTTTTTCTGATCCTTATTTAATATTATATTTTCAAGCTTCGGCAGCATGAGTGTTATTTATGATATAACTTATGATATAATTTTTGATTCATAAATATACTGTGATGTTCTAATTAGCAATTACTTTCAGTATATACGTAAGTAGTTTCGTTAATGAAAGTTTTTATGGATTAAATATTATAAATATATATTTTTATGTTTTAGATATATATAAATAGAATTAAATCAGTATTTCTTCAGTTTATTAGTTGTATTATTATCAGTCTTGTCACTAAGAACAAACTGGAAATCTTAAATTTGATATTAACAATTTAACTTGTAATTTACAAAATGTATCTTTATGATTAACCACATTTGCTTATGGTCAAATTTTCTGGAACCAACAGAGCCCTCGTGCAGCATTCCCACCAGTGCGTGTACAGCCCTAAGAGGCTATTGTAATGACACATGCGGCGCAAATGAGAATTCATTTGACAAACTCTGCAACACTCCAGACTGCTCATGCTGCGTTGAGAGTAAGTATTACTTCGACTTCATTTTATATGTGAGCTCTAAAAGATCAAATCAATGAGTAGTTGAGGCCATTATAACATTCATTTGAGTTAATATGAATGTAAAATTCTATAGGGGACTTCTGAATTGTCCATGGCTGGTCGTATATATATCAGTACTCTAATATGTGAAATAGTCCAGACTATTTCACATATAACCAACTTTGTTTTTTGCCCCACTAATTGGTAATAAGTTACTCACATCTGCGACTCGATTTGATCCATATTTAATATTAAATTTTCATGCTTTAGCAGTATGTCTGCCATATATTACATAATTTTTATTTTTATATTTACTTCGATGTTCTGATTTATCAATTACTTTCCATATATGCGTTAACAGTATCGTTACCGAGGCAGTGTTTATAGATTAATATGACAAATTAAATTTTTCAATGAGATAGATGTATTGCATATGAAAATAATAAATAAATATTTGCTGTTTCTTATTATATTATCATGAGACTTGTCATTTGTAAGAAATCTCTCAATTTTAAAATGGATATTAGAGAAAATTTGGAAAATGCAAAATACATTCCCTCTAATGCGTTATGAGTGATTTCCTTCGAGGCTAAGGGACCCCCTTCTTCCAACCAGAGGTGGTACTCCCTTCTCTTTGCAAAATGTATTTTTATAATTAACTTCATCTGCTTATGATCATATTTGCCGGATCCAACAGAGCCCTCGTGCACTATGTCCACCAGTGCGTGTTCAGCCCTGGGAGGCTACTGTAGCAACACATGTGATGTAAATGAGGATCCACACTACTCTCTCTGCAATACACAAGATTGCTTCTGCTGTGTTCAAAGTACGTTTTGCTCTCTCTTCGACATTTAATATATGAGCTGCATAAAATCTGAATCCTGTAAACGAAAGGTAGTTTTAATGTCGGTTTTATTGTAAATTCACGTTTTTATCGTTCAAAAACAAGGTTTATAAAACGAAGAAATAATATTGTTAAAACTCAAAGTAAAAAAATTCCTTTGATATCAGTAAAATGTAATAAAAATTAAGTGTATGGATAGTGGAAAGAAATGGGAATGGCTTTACAGAGTATCTGCGGCGGGTTTACCAGAATATTGCTTTATTACTGTATAAAGTATTACTGTACATATATAATACATATAAATATTACTGTACATATGTACAGTACATATGAATACAGTCCTGAAAATGTCATCTGCATTATCCTGGCTGGTCAATTCATGCCCAGCACTCTCCCAGTTGAGATTTTGTACAGACTAGAATACTTCGCTATATTTTCAAGCAAGTTTACTTTTAAAACACTAATTGGTAGTAAGTTGGTCACCTCTGAAGATGATTTTTCTGATCCTTGTTTAACATTATATTTTATGCTTCGGCAGAATGCCTTTCAAAAATATTATCATTCTTGATTCTTAAATTTACTTTGAGGTTATGATTAGCAATTTCTTTGCGTATATGCATAAACTTTATTGTTATTGAAGCTGTTTTTATGGATTAAATATGATAAATGTATTTTTTATAATGATAGACGCATTATATTCTCTTCTTTTAGCAGCATTTTTATCATTTATAATATAACTCTTTGTTCCTAAATTGACTGGGATATTCTGAATACCAATTACTTTGCGTTCACGAGTAAACAATATAGTTATTGAAACTGTGTTTACGGAGTAAATGGCATAATTCTTTTATGAGATAGATATATTGTCTGATGAGAATTCAATATTTATTTGCTGTTTCATAAATTATTATATTGTTATGAGTCTTTTTTTTAATTTAGTCTTGGGTTCATTAGGGTATTGAAATACCTAGTGAACGTGCAAGCAGGAGCTGTTATCCTCCCTCAGCTCATCTGAAGCCTGCTCCTAGAGACGACTCATTTATTTTATTAGAATGTTCTTTAAAACTAGCTAACTATCATATAAGAAACAGGTACCTGGTGAAGTAGCAAGCAAGAGTTGTAATCCGACCTCAGCTCAGTTGAAACCTGCTCCTAGAGACCCATTTATTTATTGAGCATCATCAGGAATAAACTTTAACTCTAAGTAACAATCATATAAGGAACAGGATGAGCCCGGAGTCAATTGCCTGCCAGAGCCTTCATGTGATCAGTTGACCTGATCTCCCGTGTATCAACCTAATGACCAAACATATATAGAATGCGATGCAGCCTAGGAGTGATGGTCTTGTCATTAGTGAAAATTATAAATTTTAAATTAGATATAAAAATATTTTTTTAATATTCAAAATATGGTATTATAACTATGGCATGGGATCCAACAGAGCCCTCGTGCGACATTACCACTAGTGCGTGTTCAGCCCAGGAAGGCTACTGTAGCGACTCATGCGGCGTAAATGAGAATGCACTCTCCAATCTGTGCAACACTGCAACCTGTTCATGCTGCGTTCAAAGTAAGTTTTACTCCTAATTCGTAGTTACATATGAGCTCTAGAAGATGTGATTGCTGGATGTAGCATCAGGTATAACAGATTCAGTTCAGTACAGATGTGAAAAACCTCGTTGGAGGCCTTCTGAATTATCCATAGGTAGTGATATTTATATATGTACTCTCCCATTTGTGAAATTGTCCAGACTAGGAGTACTATTCAGAGCAAGTTTGTTTTTATGTTATTAACTGGTAATAAGTTGCTCATATCTGCAACTTCATTTCTAATCCCTGTTTAATATTACATTCTCATATATCATGAGCATGTCTGCCATTTATTATATAATTCTTGATTCTTACAATAACTGTGATGTTCTAATTATCAATTTGTGTATATGCGTAAACAATACCGTTATTCAAGCTAATTAACTTCTACTACACTACTTGGTAATAAGTTGCTCATATCACAAACTCTTTTTCTGATCCTTGTTTAATATTATATTTGCAAGCTTCGGCAGCATGTCTGTCATTTATAATATAATTCTTGATTGATAAATATACTGTGATGTTCAGATTAGCAATTACTTTCAGTATATACAAAAGTAGTTTCGTTATTGAAACAGTCTTTATGGATTGAATGATAAATATGATGTTTGTTTTATGTATACTGTATTGTATATGAATAGAATTAAATCAGTACATCCTCAGTTTATTAATTACATTATTATAAGTCTTGTCAGTAGAAAGAAACTGTAAATTTTATATTGCATGTAAAAAATTTAACTTGTAATTTACAAAATGTATTTTTATAATTGACTGCATTTGCTTATGTTCATCTTTTCCGGAACCAACAGAGCCTCCGTGCAGTATTCCCACTAGTGCGTGTACAGCCCTGGGAGGCTACTGTAATGACACATGCGGCGCAAATGAGAATTCATTTGACAAACTCTGCAACACTCCAGACTGCTCATGCTGCGTTGAGAGTAAGTATTACTTCGACTTCTTCCTTTTATATATGAGCTCTAAAAGATCAGATCAATGAGTAGTTGAGCAAAGTACAACATTCATTTGAGTACATATGAATATAAAGTCCTATTGGGGGGGCTTCTGAATTGTTCATGGCTGGTCTTATATATATATATATATATATATATATATATATATATATATATATATATATATATATATATATATATATATATATATATATATATATATAAGTTTGTTTTTGCCACAGTAATTGGTAGTAAGTTACTTACATCTAAAACTCGATTTCTGATCCATATTTAATATTACATTCTCATGCTTTAGCAGTATGTCTGCCATATATCACATACTTCTTTATTTTTTTATTAACTTCGATGTTTTGATTATCAATTACTTTGCATATGTGCGTAATAATATCGTTACCGGAAGTGTTTATTGATTATACATGTCAAATATAGTTTTTCCATGCTCAAAGACAAATTATTCAGTGCTGTTAACACCCTATTGACTGGTGCCAACATACCAACTCACTCCTTTTATGATAAATGGCTGAGTTTATGATAAATAGATCTGAAACCTATGTTTATGGGCAGCACAAAACGTCTACCAGACTGTGCGACACAGTGGTTGCCACGATCAGATTGGGTTACTGTTACCTGTGGCAGCGGGCAATAGGTGATGGGTCTCCCAATCCGGAGCACTCCAGGTGCAAACTCTGTGAGCAGGAACTGAGACATGATCTCCCACACTACATTACTGAATGCCTAGTTATCAGACTATTCAGACCCATTGGCATGAGGTACCTTGAGCTTTGCAATTACTTTATTCACTCTCGTGTTCTTGAAGATATCCTCATAATTCACCCAAAGTTTGCCAGTGCAGGCCACTTAACATATGGCCGTGTATGACTAACCATTCTGTGAGATGAAGACTCAATACCACTATTACCTTATTCACTCTTGTGTTTATGATATCCTCATAATGCACCTCAGAGTCTGCGAGTGCAGACTACTTATCCCAGGCCTCTGTATGACTGACCATCCTGTGTGATGAGAGATTTTTTTCCATCACGTAGCTAGTTTTTTAACTCGCTGTACTCCCCATCATATAGTCTAGGGTAGCTACCAAATGCATATGTACCTAAATGTGTTAATAAAAAAATTAGATATATTGCGTATGAAAATAAATAAGATTTTGTGTTTTTTTAATGACATTATCATGAGACTTGTCATTAGTAAGAAATCTCAAGTTAAAATTGAATATTTGAAAAATATAATTTGCAAAATGTATTTTTATAATTAACCTCATCTGCTTGTGCTCATATTTACCGAAACCAACAGAGCCTTCATGCGACCGTATTACCAGTGCGTGTAAAGCCCTGGGAGGCTACTGTAGCAACACATGCACTCCAAATGAGGATCCACACTACTCTCTCTGCAATAGTAAAGAATGCTCCTGCTGTGTTGAAAGTAAGTTTTACTTTCCATTCAACATTTTATATACAAGCTTCATTAAATCTGAACCCTGTAAAGAAAGATAATCTGAATGTGGGTTTAATTGTAAATTCTTGTTTTCATCGTAAAAAATCAAGGTTCAGAAATCGAACAAAGAGTATTGAGAAAAATCAAAGTAAAAGAATATCTTTGATATCAGTCATATAACGAATATGGAGTGTATGCATAGTGGAAAGACTTGGGTATCACTTTACAGATTATTTCAGGCAGGTTTACCAGATTTAGTATATAATATATGAATAAAAAGTCCTGAAAAGGTCATCTGGATTATCCTAGCTGGCCAATTTATGCCCGGCGCTCTCCCAGTTGTAAATTTGTTCACACCAGGATACTTGGTTATATTTTCAAGCTAGTTTACTTCGAAAACACTAATTGGTAATAAGTTATTTTTCTCTGAAGCAGTTTTTCTGATCATTGTTTAATATTATATCTTCATGCTTCGGCAGCATGTCTACCATATACAATTTAATTCTTGATTCTTAAAATTGCTTTAACATTCTGATTAGCAATTACTTTGCGTATATGCATAAACTTTATCGTTACTGAAAACTGTGTTTATGATTTAAATATGATAAATATGTTGTTTGTTTGATAGATACATTATATTCTCATCCCTCAGCAGCATGTTTATCATATATAATATATATCTTGGTTCTTAAATTTACTGTTATGTTCTGATATTCAATTACTTTGCCTTCGTACGTAAACGATAAAGTTATTGAAACAGTGTTTACGTATTAAATGACATTTTTCTTTCATGAGATATATATATTGTGTATGAAATCATATATATATATATATTGTTTTGTAAATAATTATATTATCATGAATCTTTTTTTTAATTAAGTCTAGGGTTCATAAGGGCTGTCGATTGAAAAACCTAATGAACATGCAAACAGGAGCTGTTATCCTACTTCAGCTCATCTGAATCCTGCACCTAGAGACTCATTTATTTCATTGGAATGTTCTTTGAAACTAATTAACTATCATATAAGGAACAGTAACCTGGTAAAACTGCAAGCAGGAGCTGTAATCCTTCCTCTGCTCAGATAAATCTGCTCCTAGAGACCCATTTATTTCATAAGTTATTATCTGCATCATCAGGAATAAACTTTATTTAACTCTAAGTAAAGATCACATAACGAGCAGGATGAGCTTGAAGCCGACTGTGTCCTTAAGCCTTCATGCGATCAGTTAACCTGATCTCCAGTGGATCAACCTATTGAGCAAACAAGTTTAGAATGCCATGCAACCTAGGAATGAATGATCGCTGATGGAGTGATGGTCTTGTCACCAGTAAGAAATTTGTCAGTTTTAAATTATATGTAAAAAAATTATTTTTAATACAAAATATGCTATTATAATTAACGGCATCGGATCCAACAGAGCCCTCGTGCGGAATTACCACTAGTGCGTGTTCAGCCCAGGAAGGCTACTGTAGCGACTCGTGCAACGTAAATCAGAATGCACTCTCCAATCTGTGCAACACTGCAAACTGCTCCTGCTGCGTTCAGAGTAAGTTTTACTCCTAATTCGCCATTTTATATGTGTGCTCTAAAAGATGTGATTGCTGGGAGGATCCAGCAGGTTTAACCGATTCAATTCAGTACAGATGAATAAAAAGTCTTGTAGGGGCCCTGTTGAAATGTTCATGGATATCTCTACTCTCCCATTTGTGAAATTGTCCAGACTAGGAGAACTATTCAAAGCATGTTTGCTTTTGATGACACTAGTTGGTAATAAGTTGCTCATATCTGCAACTTCATTTCTAATCCATGTTTAATTTTCCATTCTCATGTTTCAGCAGCAGATCTGCCATTTATCATATTCTTTTTGATTTATTCAATAACTGTGATGTTCTAATTATCAATTATTTTGTGTATATGCGTAAACAATGCCGTTATTCAAGCTTATTCACTTTTAGCACACTACTTGGTAATAAGTTGTTCATATATTAACTCTTGTTCATGATCCTTGTTTAATATTATGTTTTCAAGATTCAGTTGCATGTCTGTCATTTATTATATAATTCTTGATTTTTAAATTTACTGTAATGTTTTGATTAGCAATTACTTTCAGCATGTGTGTAAATAGTTTTGTTACTGAAATATTTATGGATTAAATAAGATAAACATAATTTTTGTATATTTTAGATATAAATAGAATTAAGCCAGTATTTCCTCAGTTTCTTAATTATATTATTATGCGTTGTCAGTAGAAAGAAAACTGTAAATTTTAAATAGAATGTAAAAAAACTAATTTATAATTTACAAATTTTATTTTTATTATTAACTGCATCTGCGTATGTTCATCTTTTCGGGAACCAACAGAGCCCTCGTGCAACATCCCAACCAACGCGTGTACAGCCATAAGAGGCTACTGTAGTGACACGTGCAAAGCAAATGAAAATTCATTTGAAAATCTCTGCAACACTGCAGACTGCTCCTGTTGCGTTCAAAGTAAGTTTTACTTCTTAACAAATCAGATCCATGAGTAGCCGAGGCAAGTATAACATTCATTTGAGTTCATATGCATATATAGTTCTATTGGGCCTTCTGAATTGTCCATGGTTGATCGCTTATATATATATATATATATATATATATATATATATATATATATATATATATATATATATATATATATATATATATATATATATATATATATATATATATATATATATATATATATATATATATATATATATATATGTCGTACCTAGTAGCCAGAACTCACTTTTTGGCCTACTATTCAAGGCCCGATTTGCCTAATAAGCCAAGTTTTCCTGAATTAATATATTTTTTCTAATTTTTTTCTTATGAAATGATAAAGCTACCCATTTCATTATGTATGAGGTCATTTTTTTTTATTGGAGTTAAAATTAACGTAGATATATGACCGAACCTAACCAACCCTACCTAACCTAACCTACCCTATCTTTATAGGTTAGGTTTGGTTAGGTAGCCGAAAAAGTTAGGTTAGGTTAGGTTAGGTAGGTTAGGTAGTCGAAAAACAATTAATTCATGAAAACTTGGCTTATTAGGCAAATCGGGCCTTGCATAGTAGGCTGAGAAGTGCGTTCTGGCTATTAGGTACGACATATATATATATATATATATATATATATATATATATATATATATATATATATATATATATATCACATACTTCAGTTATATATTAACTTCTTTGTTCTGATTATCAATTACTTTGCATATGTGCGTAATAATATCGTTACCGAAAAAAACGTTTATAGATTAAATAAGACAAATATAATTCTTCCATGAGATAGATATATTGCAGATGAAAATAATTAAATAAGTGTTTTATGTTTCTTAATTATTATCATGAGACTTGTCACCAATGAGAAATCTCTCAGTTTTAAATTGGATATATAAAAAAATATAATTACCATTTGCAAAATGTATTTATATAATTAACCTCATCTGCTTATGCTCATGTTTACCGGAACACAGAGCCATCGTGCAGCAATTCCACCAGTGCGTGTTCAGCCCTGGGAGGCTACTGTAGCAACACATGTGGTGTAAATGAGGATCCACACTACTCTCTCTGCAATACTATAGACTGCTTCTGCTGTGTTCAACGTAAGTTCTGCTCTCCCTGTGATGAAAATTGTCGGGATAGATATGAGAGGCGAACTACTAGGGACTTGTACTGTACTAAATTAAAAAATTACTGTATGCAAATTAATTCAACTAAAGTCCCCAGGTAGGGTCGTAAAACCTAGATCCTCTTTCCTAACGACAGACTGTGGGCTGTAAGGGGCAGGTGGGGTCTCGAAGGATGAATTGAGAAGTTGATTAAAGATCCACAGTCCACCTGCAGACAATTTTACACTTCAATACAATACAATACAATACAATTTTATTTAGGTAAGGTACATACATACAATAAATATTTACAAGGATTGTTTAACTTATAGGTATAGCTAGTACATACAATGCCTAAAGCCACTATTACGCAAAGCGTTTCGGGCATGAAACTTGTATTGCAGGCGATGAGTCACAATAACGTGGCTAAAGTATATTGACCAGACCACACAGTAGAAGGTGAAGGGACGACGACGTTTCGGTCCGTCCTGGACCATTCTCAAGTCGATTGAGAATGGTCCAGGACGGACCGGAACGTCGTCGTCCCTTCACCTTCTAGTGTGTGGTCTGGTCAACATCAGCTTGTATTGTTAATACAAGGATAAGATTGAATAAATTCAGCTCCATAACTGAACACTTCTTCTGTTTAAATCAGGGATCTAAACATGAACACAATCGAGCCTAGTACCGTAACTATAACAGCCAATATTCGTATACTAATAAACACACCAATTTGTATTATAGAGGTTTGATATCTATGAATATACAATAAAATAACGTTAAATGTGGTCCAAGTATTGGTAACTAAGTACAAGAGATTAAATTCAATATGATAAACATACATGATAAATTAAACCTAACTAGTAAGCAGTTGTTCTTCAATGACAAGGACACTCATGAGGGTGTTTACCTCATGAGTGTTTAGATGAATTGAAAAGCTTCAGTCGCTACAAGATTAATAAAAACTTACTGAAATATGAGGAATTACCTCACCCTGTAACGACATATTTGAACATAATTACTCTCTATGTGATACTCTCTATGAAATAGCAATCATCATAGAAAGTTTAGTGAATCTAACCGCAAGAACCCAGTCTCAAACCTTGCTCAGACAGCCTGTGTTGATATCAACCCTATCTGAGGAGTAACTTATTGTACATATTAAGGATATACAAGCATGCAATTGGCCAGTTAACCATTGGCCAATAGGATGCGATGGAACCTAGAAATGAATGATCGCTAATGGAGTGATGGTCTTGTCAATAGTAAGAAAATTGTCAGTTTGAAATTAGATCTAAAAACTTATATTTTAATATACAAAATATGCTATTATAATTAACGGCATGGGATCCAACAGAGCCCTCGTGCAAAACTACCACCCGGGCGTGTTCAACACAGGGAGGCTACTGTAGCGACACATGCGGCATAAATGAGAATCCACTCTCCAATCTGTGCAACACTGCAAGCTGCTCCTGCTGCGTTCAAAGTAAGTTTTACTCCTAATTCTCCTTCTTGAATGTCCTGACTTCCAGGACGAGCGTGTGTCCTGCTTTCCGACCGCCCCTTGCGGTCACCTGTCCCCTCAATAGGTGACTCGGATACTTTTGATATCGTTCGCCTTATGCGTTTCTGTTCTCGTATTGGCATCCTTGGTGATATTTAGCGTCCTCTGATTATTTTGCGCATTTGATGGTGCTACATAGCCTTCCCGGTTTGGTGCCTTCTTTTGATAATTACTTACTTACTTACTCCAAATTCGCAATTTTATAGATGTGCTCTAAAAGATGTGATTGCTGGGTAGTTCAAGCCGGTTTAACAGATTAAATTCAGTTCATGGATAGTGATATTTATATATGTACGATACCATTTGTGAAATTGTCCAGACTAAGAGAAATATTTAAAGTAAGTTTGCTTTTGATGACAATAATTGGTGATAAGTTGCCCATATCTGCAACTTTATTTCTGATTCATGTTTAATTTTCCATTCTCATGTTTCAGCAGCAGATCTGCCATTTATCATATTATTCTTGATTTATGCAATAACTGTGATGTTGTAATTATCAATTACTTTGTGTAGTGGTGTAAACAATGCCGTTATTCAAGTTTATTCACTTCTAGCACACAACTTGGTAATAAGTTGTTCATATATCAACTCTATTCATGATCATTGTTAAATATTATATTTTCATGTTCGGATGCATGTCTGTCATTTATTATGTAATTCTTGACTTTTATATTTACTGTGATGTTTTGATTATCAATTACTTTCAGTATGTAAATTGTTTGGTTATTGTAACGGTCTTTATGGATTAAATATGATAAATATAATTTTTGTATGTTTCAGATGATGATGTTTAATTTATATGTTTTAACACCCATTATTTCCTCAGTTTCTTAATTATATTATTATGAGTTGTCATTAGAAAGAAAACTGAATTTTAAATTGAATGTACAAAATTTAATTTATAATTTACTAAATTTATTTTTATAATTTACCGCATCTGCTTATGTTCATATTTTCGGGAACCAACAGAACCCTCATGCAACATTCCCACCAGTGCGTGTACAGCCCTGAGAGGCCGCTGTAGTGACACATGCGGCGCAAATGAGAATTCATTTGACAATCTCTGCAACACTCCAGACTGCTCCTGCTGCGTTCAAAGTAAGTTTTACTTCGACTTCTTCCTTTTATATATGAGCTCTAAAAGATCAGACCAATGAGTAGTCGAGGCATGTATAACATTCATTTGAGTACATATGAATATAAATTCCATCACTGTAACCTGTTATGTTTCACCGACCAATAGTTCATGAACAGTCAAACCAACAGTTGGACTGTTCATGTCCAACACCGGCAGTTTCATCGACCCAACTCCTAAATGTGCAGGCAATGAGTCACAATAACGTGGCTAAAGTATGTTGACCAGACCACACACTAGAAGGTGAAGGGACGACGACGTTTCGGTCCGTCCTGGACCATTCTCAAGTCGATTGTGAATGGTCCAGGACAACTTAAGTCTTGCCAACCCCTCCTAAATGAGCTATGATCAGGAGAACATTCCACAGATGGCGTTGACCTTGCCGCATCTCCGCCAACAGATGGCGTTGTCCTCATCACAACTAAAAGTCTTGGGATTGGAATGCAGATCCACAAATTGCGTTGATATCGCCACACCTCACTCCTCAGATGGGGTTGATATCGCCACACCTCACTCCTCAGATGGGGTTGATATCGCCACACCTCACTCCTCAGATGGGGTTGATATCGTCACACCTCACTCCTCAGATGGGGTTGATATCGCCACACCTCACTCCTCAGATGGGGTTGATATCGTCACACCTCACTCCTCAGATGGGGTTGATATCGTCACACCTCACTCCTCAGATGGGGTTGATATCGCCACACCTCACTCCTCAGATGGGGTTGATATCGCCACACCTCACTCCTCAGATGGGGTTGATATCGTCACACCTCACTCCTCAGATGGGGTTGATATCGCCACACCTCACTCCTCAGATGGGGTTGATATCGTCACAGGCTGTCTGAGCGAGGTTTGAGACAGGGTGCTTGCAGTTAGATTCACTCAACTTTCCATGATGACTGCTACTTTATAGAGAGTATCACATGCCCCCTCCTTAGGTATAAATGGCTCCTATTGCGAGAACCACCAACTCATGTGAAGCCTGAAATTGGAGTTTAGTTTTCAATAGAATTTTCTCAACAGATTTTTCCATTGTCCATCAGACAGAATGTGACCACAACATTGGTGCGTGTTACACGAAAAGGACGATTGTAAAAATAACGTTGTGGTTATGTACTTTGTATGTTTGCTGGATGCAAATATTGTATGTTTTGAGAGAAAATGGGAGGGAAGGAGAGAGCGAGAACAGGAGGGAAATTTTTTGGGGAAAAAGAGCTAGGGAGCGAGGTGTAATAAGAGAAAGGGAGAAATGGAGAGGAAACAGATCCTTGCTTGGGGGGGCCGCGGATGAGGGCAAATATTTGCAGTCCAGTTTTGTAGTAAGAGGGGAGGTGGTGCAGGGTGGGTGGCGCATTCCAACCAATGCGTGAACAACCATAGAAGGCCTCTGTAGGGACACATATGAATTCATAAACAGAATCCAGTCTACAATCTCTGCACCCTGTACCTGCTGCGTTCAAAGTAAGCTTACCACTCACTCTCGACATTCTTCTGGAGTCCAGAAGCAACTTAACTCTCGCCAACCCCGTTATCTGCTAGCTGTTATATAGAGTAAAACACTTATTCAAGAGACTTAAACAAATGTAAAAGTACATATAATACACTATTTGGCTCATTAACGTGTTTGCAATCTGTTATGGACAAGGCTTAGGCTTAGCCATAACATTTGTGAACATATTCCTTTTTCCCTATACACTTCTTAGCCCTAATTTTGCCATCAGATGCGATTTGATCAATTTTCCCCACGCTGGGCACCAGATGTAAGATTTTACTGGTTATTGGGATGTGGTTTTGAATGTTTGCCTTCGACCAACAAATTAATACACTCCAGAGGCGTGAGCAAGACACCAAAGATCTAAGTATTCGGATGGAGATGAAGACCAGGGCGGTCATCTATTCCACAAGCAATACCAGACCTTCCACACATAGGTCGTTCTCTCTGCAACTTGCTTGTAAGCAAATCTAGCAGGTAGCGGATGGGTTCTCACACTGAGTTTTATATTTAGTGTTTGAGGCGCTAGGCTGGATCCTGAGCCAATTCATATCAGTGACAAGTGTCAAGTATCAAGTGATGAAATATGGGAGAGAGGCAGTATTGCAGAACGAGGATTATCATCAAAGGCACATGTCTTAGCAAAAATAGGTTTATTCAACAACTTACTAATACACAGTGACCCACTTTAGTTACGTTACTCATGAGTGTCACTTCAGAACTGTCAAAACACCACCTCACAGCAGGAATCCGTTCCCACCACTCTCACAGGTGTCAGAGACACAACAGTACCTATCTACTGGACAGGTCATGAACAATCCTCTATCTCAAATGTGTAATATAATGTTAAACAAACCTCACACTAGAAAGTGAAGGGACGACGACGTTTCGGTCCGTTCTGGACCATTCTCAAGTCGATTGTCCCTTCGCGTCGTCGTCCCTTCAATTTCTAGTGTGTGGTTTGTTCAACATATTTCAGCCACGTTATTGTGACTCCTCGTCTGCGTGTAATATAATAGTGTTCACACATGCGTCGTCAGTCACTCCACTAGTGAACCGACGCTTGAAAGGTTAAGAGGTGTCACTCTCTGAACTGACAGTTTAACACTTCCACACTCTCAAGACAACGAAAGCTCGTTGCGAGATATACTCTGAAATGAGGATCCACACTACTGTATATATTGGGTGATTATTAATCATCAAAATTAATATGTGCACAACACTTAAAATAACCCGGGTCTTGTACTTGCATTCAATCACACATTCACTCTCTATGTATCCACATTATTGCTGGAATAAAGGTCAACCTCAAGCTTTCTAGATGATAAATCTTTGGAGATAATTTGGTATGCACCACGCGAGCTGGTCGATCGCTTTAACACGATCATCAATAGATCTAGCATAAAATTATCACCCTCACTTAACAGTCTCTAGAATGATGATATCTTGATCCCACTCAGTGAGAAACGATGTGATGGACCCACACACACACACATGCTTCAAGCATTGTCCCACTGCTTTAATTGATTGATTGATTGATGAAGATTAAGCCACCCAAGAGGTGGCACGGGCATGAATAGCCCGTAAGTGGTACCACTGCTTTAATGCGTTCGCGTGGCTATACACGCACGCAGGCACGCACAACACCCCCGGGTGAGAGAAGTACAGTACTTCTCACCTTCCCCCTCCACGGGAGACATCTCCCGTCACGCAGGGTGCAGTCGCACCTCCACAGATCTCCCGTATCATCTATTGATACTGGCAATGGCTCAAATGGGCCACCACTTACGGGCTATTCATGCCCGTGCCACCTTTTGGGTGGCTTAATCTTCATCAATCTTCCCCCTCGAACCCTTGTGATCTCAAGTTGTCCGCACACTTTCCCGTGGGACATTTCACAGTTGATTGTCGCTAGAAATGCTACCCAGCTTGACTGACAATCACTTCCTCTGAGACTCCATATTGACACTGAATCTTACCACTGTGACTTACAATACAATAAATCTTATTACCAAAGAATTATGTACAATAATGTTACAAATTAAATTCCTTACATATTCTAATTTATCTCGTGTTATTAACCAATATGAATCAATAGCATTTGTTTACAAATTATAATTTCTTAAGCTCATAATTCTGTTATGCATAAAAATCTCAAATTTTAGCAACAGATCTGAAAAGAGGAAATTTTGAAACAATGAAGTGTATTTGAAATTTTTATTGCCTTTAGTATTTCTTTTATTTTATTGTACCGACAGAGCCCTCATGCAGCATTCCCACCAGTGCGTGTACAGCCAAGGGCGGCCGCTGTAGTGACACGTGTGGCGCAAATGAGAATCCATTCTACAATCTCTGCAACGCTGCAAACTGCTCTTGCTGCGTTCAAAGTAAGATTTATTCGCGTTTTCTCGAATCAGAAAGAGATTATTTAGCGCTTCTACATACCCTTCTTAAAGCTTTTGCAACAAACAAGTATTTAATCGTGCGGAAATGTAAAGCAAAATTAATTTTACGTAAAATCATACCTGTAAATTTAAAAGCAAAATAGAAGTTTTAGAAATTGAAAAAAAAATCATAGTATTAGAAATTTAAAAAATAAATTATTGTATTAAAAACTTTTATACTTTTGAAACATTGTTAATTTGACCATTTTAAAGAGAATGTTATTTGGTAATTGTCTGTTCGCGTCAGTTTACCCGTAAAACCGGTTACAAATACTAAAACATTATTATATAGAAAAATAAACCATTCATTATATATAAGATTTTGTTAGTCTGGTTAAAGTTTCGTTGCATTTAGTATAAACGAAAGTACAATGTACTAAGTATACTGTTCTTAGTTTTCAGTTTTCAATGCGGCATTGAAACGTCTATTGTCAGAAAATGATAAGTTGTATTTAACAATTTGCCTTTACTAGTTTCCTAATCTGATTAAACCAACAGAGCCTTCGTGCAACATTCCCACCAGTGCGTGTACAGCCCAAGGCGGCCGCTGTAGCGACATATGCACTGCAAATGACAATCCATTCTACAATCTCTGCAACACTCCAAACTGCTCTTGCTGCGTTCCAAGTAAGTTTCATGCGCTTCTCGTCAATTCAGGAAAGAGGATATTTGAGAATGGTCCAGGACGGACTGAAACGGCGTCGTCCCTTCACTTTCTAGTGTGTGGTTTGGTCAACATATTTCAGCCACGTTATTGTGACTCCTTGTCTGCAAGAGGATATTCATATCTCTAACTTATATTATGCATGTTTTCACAGCAAAAAATGAAGTTGTACAATCGTGCGGCAATTCATCGAAAACAACAATTGCATATATTTATGTATGCAGATTGAATTTAAATTAAGTGAAGAACTTTAAGAAGCACGATAGTGTATGAAGCTTTTGCACTGTTATCGTTAGACTCGTTAAACGGGCACTGAAATATCTTTACTGACTTTACTGATAATAAAACCGTTGGTTAAATATGAGAATTTATTGTTGGTGGTTAGAATTTGTTGGAAATTAAGCGAAATAAAAAAGCACTTTAACATGTGAATATTTCATAGCATCATAAGTCTCTAATCAAATATTGCTAAACAATTTATTAAATTTGGCAAAAATAAGGTTACTGATGCTTCACATCATCTTAGATCTCATTCGCTGACTTAGTTACCTAGTTATTTGTTACATGTTATTTAAAGTTAAACCAATAGCTAAAGAGTATTAAATAATGATTTTCAAGTTCGCATCAATTAACAACATATCTCGTTATCACTGAGTTGATTGCAGGCTTATTGGTTCCTTGTTATTAGCATTTTTACCAAACTGTAATTGTTTTACGGAATTAAAAGCCTTTATATCTTATGTGCCTCAGAGCATTGCGTTAGTAATTTGTATATCGTTAATTTCTCTGCATATTTATTTCCTGCACTAGAAGTATAATGACAAGACCACACTAGAATGTGAAGGGACGATCGACTTGAGAATGGTCCAGGACGGACCGAAACGTCGTCGTCCCTTCACATTCTAGTGTGTGGTCTTGTCATCATACTTTAGCCACGTTATTGTGACTCATCACCTGCATAGAAGTATAATGTGAAATAAAAACAATTTGTTTGTACTTATTTCGTAATTGTATGAACCAACAGAGCCCTCGTGCAGTCTTCCCACCAGTGCGTGTACAGCCAAGGGCGGCCGCTGTAGCATCACATGCGGCATAAATGAGAATGCATTCTACAACCTCTGCAACACTCCAGACTGCGTCTGCTGCGTTATAAGTAAGTTACTTACGTTTTCCAAAGTTTTCACAACCAAATGAAGCTTTGTAATAGAATAGAAATTCAGAGAAAATAAAACTGAGTAAATTTTTGTAAATGTGTTAAATGTTTCTTAAAAAATATTAACAATAGATTACATTTGACAAAAATATAGTAATAGATGCTGATAGTAAGCCACGATAACGTGGCTGAAAATAAATTTGTACGGAAAATAAATCTGTCTGAAACATATAGGTAATAGTCAGGTCCGAACCGAAACGTCCAGACCGGACTATTACCTATATTTTCAGATTTGTGGGTTGGAAATCTTATAGTTACAGATGTTTTCAAACATCTTTCAAACAAACGTTTAAGATTCAGCTACTCGGAACAAAAGTTCCAATTAGCACGGGCTATGGTGAGCCCCAAGTGGACTTGTTATATAGAAATTACGTCCTTTCTATTAGCCAGTGACCAAAATTGTACCATATATTCCAAATAGGGTATTTTTATACGGTGCTTTCATGTAGCCATACATAATACCAATATATTCTTATGCCAATAATACCAGTACAAAAATTAGCTGTTGTTCTCGTGTTAAACAAACGACACACAAGGCAAAATAGATCACCAAATTAAAATGTGTAGCTTCTTGATACACTCTCACCGTCAATATTGATGGAATATATGTTTAGTTTGACAATCTTTCAACTTCCTTCTAATATAATTCAGAAATATTAGAATTTTTGTTTCCGCAGCTCTTTTCTGCATGTTATTTAGAGGTAAACACTATCCAAAGAGTCTTAAGTAGAGCTTGACAAGTTAATTAATATCATTTAACAAAATATCTCATTATTGCAAAGATGATTGTTGTCCCTTTACAATATATTATTCTTGTAATGTATATTAAAACAATGTATACGAATAATGTGCAATAATACATTGTCTTTTTACTACTCCTAACTTTCTAAACCAACAGGGCCATCGTGCAGCCTTCCCACCAGTGCGTGTACAGCCAAGGGCGGCCGCTGTAGCGACTCATGCGGCGTAAATGAGATTCCTTCTTACAATCTCTGCAACGCTCCTAACTGTGTCTGCTGCACTCCACGTAAGTTGTTCGGCTTTTGTCAGTCCAGATAGAATTTGAAACTTGTAAATCACGTTTTATAAAAGTTAATTCAACAAAATGAGGCTGTTAAATTTAAACACTAGCTAAAAAAAAAGTTTTAAGTAGAGCTTTACAAATTAAAATCAGTTGACATAATTACTCTTTATTTCGGCTCAGTCCCATCTTCTACTTGCCGGACTGCAGCAGCGTGTAGGTTCTATAGAAATAATATTTGCACACAGACTGTCAGTGTCAGGTTAAACAACGGGCTGACCTCCTCACAAGCAGAACTAGCGGCACTACAACTAGCTACCAGAACATTAAAAAACATTAGAGGAGGAATAATATTTTGTGATTCAAAGTCTGCTCTTCAATCAATCGAAAATTTCTCCTGGAAGATCGACAGCAAGAACCTCATACTAGCAATTGTAAATGACCTAATTGCTGCACAGAGTAAAGGGTTTCGAATCTCATTTGTATGGATACCATGACACATAAATATAAGTCATTATAATGACACAGACATTACAGCCAAATTATCATGTAACAAAGATAAAGTTGAATTAGACCTTCGTATCCCCGTCTCTGCTGTCAAAACTATATTGTTCCAAACACTCAGGCCTCATAGGAAAGAAATTATCGACTCCCAACGACCTGAAAGCACCAGTATAAAAAGCTATGATTTCTTTAGATCTGAAACCTATGTTTATGGGCAGCACAAAACTTGAACCAGACTGTGCGACAAAGTGCTTCCTAAGATCAGGTTGGGTTACCGTTACCTGTGGCAGGTGGCTACAGGTGACGGATCTCCCTATCCTGAGCACTACAGATGCAAACTCTGTGATCAGGAACTAAGACATGAGCTCCCACACATCACCGAATGCCTAGTTATTAGACCATTCAGACCCATTGGAACTCCACTACGGGCTCACCATAGCCCGTGCTACTTGGATCTTTTAGTTCCAGGTAGCGAATCTTTAACAACAACAACAACCCATTGGCATGAGGTACCTGGAGCTTTGCAATTACTTTATTCACTCTCGAGTTCTTGAGGATATCCTCATGTTGCACCCAAAATTTGCCAGTGAAGGCTACTTAACATATGGCCCTGTATGACTAACCATCCTGCGAGATCTGGATTTTAAGTACCACGTAGTTAGCTTTTGACACACTGTACTTCCCTTCATATAGTCTAGTGTAGCTGCACAAATGCAGATGTACCTAAATGTGTTAATAAAAAAAATATTGCAAAGATGATTCTAGTCTCTTTGCAATATATAATTCGTTTAGCATATGTTTTCATTTGCATTGCTATAAAACTTTTATTGTTGTAATGTACTGAAGCTCTTTATGTATAAGAATCTCAGAGCATCAATATGTTTGTCATTTGTTTATTAATAATCTCGAAACATATTTTGTTTCCTTCAAAGCCAAAATAATTATCATTGCATAAATTTGCAAATTATCAATTATAATTCGAAACACCCATATTCATGAACCTAAAGTGTGTAATAATGCAATTTTCTTTTATTACTATTAACTCTAAACCAACAGAGCCTTCGTGCACCATTCCCACCAGTGCGTGTACAGCCAAGAACGGCCGCTGTAGCGACACATGTAGCATAAATGAGAATGCATTATACAATCTGTGCAACACTCCAAACTGCTCTTGCTGCGTTCAAAGTAAGATTTACTCCTAATTCGTAATTTTATAAATGAGCTCCAAAGGATCTGATCGCTGGGTTTTAAGGCAGTTTAACATATTCAGTTGAGTACATCTGAATAAAAAGATATGTAGTCGCCTTCTGAATTATCTATGGCTGTAATTAAATTGATATCTGCACTCTCTCATTTCTGAAATATCCCAGATTAGGATAAATATTCCATTAAGTTAGTTTTTATAACACTAATTGATATTAAATTCCTCATTTCTGCAACTGTATTTCTGATCCATTTTCGAAATATATTCTAATTCTTTAGCAGCATGTCCGCTATATAGCATTGTATTCTTGATTCTTTAATTTACTGTAATGTTTTGATTATCAATTACTTTATGTGTTGAGTAAACAATATTGTTATTGAATCAGTGTCTACTTAATATGGTACAAATATAATTATTCTCAAATATATTGTACATGAAAATAATTCAAAAAAGATGTTCAGTTTCTCATTTACGTTATCAGCTTAGTCTCGTCACCTGAGAAATTAAAAAAAACTCCTACAAAACGTATTTCTATAATTTACCGCATCTACTAATGTTCGTATTATCGTGAACCGACAGAGCCATCGTGTAACATTCCCACCAGTGCGTGTACAGCCAAGGGCGGCCGCTGTAGTGACACGTGTAGCATAAATGAGATTTCTACTTACAATCTCTGCAACGCTCCAAACTGCGTCTGCTGCACTGCAAGTAAGTTTTTCGTCAGTCCAGATAAAATTTGAAACTTGTAAGACAAGTTTTCCAAAAAATTTACAGCAAAATGAGGCTCTGTAGTCTATGAGGATTTCATTTCACAACAAAACTGCTGAAATTCATGTCAGTAGATTAAAAAAAAAAGTGAGAAACTTTACAAAAAAATATTTTGTATAAAAGTTTTATACTGTAGAAACAAAACTGAATTATTTTTAAAAACAAATAAATGATTTATTATAACTCTCTTGAGTGTCTATTAGACTGTTATTAGAAGCACTAATAAGTCTTTACTGATTTTGCAGAAAATTAATATATTGAAGCCCTTTACACCTTAGGTTCTCAGAGCATCATTGTATGGTAATAAATTGTTTATTAATAATCTCCAAACATTTTGTTTCCTTCCAAACAAAAATAATTATCATTCGATGAAGCTGAATATTTTCAATTATAATTCGAAACACCTGTAGTCATGATGGTCAAGCGGATTAAGGCGTCCTGTACATACCAGCTGCGTTGCTCCTGGCAGTATGGGTTCGAGTCACTTCTGGGGTGTGAGTTTTCAGTTGTAGTCATGAAAGTTTAATGTGTTTTAATTCAATTTCTTTTCACTACCCTTAACTGTCTAAACCAACAGAGCCCTCGTGCAGAATTCCCACCAGTGCGTGTACAGCCAAGGGCGGCTACTGTAGTGACACGTGTAGCATAAATGAGATTTCTACTTACAATCTCTGCAACACTCCAAACTGCGTTTGCTGCACTGCAAGTAAGTTTTTCGTCTTTCGTCAGTCCAGATAAAATTTGAAACTTGTAAGTCAAGTTTTCCAAACGTTTTAAAGCAAAATGTGACTCTGTAGTCTATGAGGATTTCATTACACAACAAAACTGCTGAAATTCATGTCAGTAGCTTAAAAAAAGTGAGAACTTTAAAAAAAATATTTTGTATAAAAGATTTATACTATAGTAAAAAAAAATAATTTTTAAAAACGAATAAGGGATTTAGTACTACTTTTTGAGTGTCTATTAGACTGTAATTAGTCGTACTAAAACTTATTTACTGATTTTGTAAAAAATTGATATACTGAAGCCCTTTACACCCAAGGTTCTCAGAGCATCACTGTATGTTAATAAATTGTTTATTAATAATCTCCAAACATTTTGTTTCCCTCCAAACAAAAATAATTATCATTCGACGAAGCTGCAAATTTTCAATTATAATTCGAAACACCTGTAGTCATGAAAGTTTAATTTGTTTTAATACAATTTCTTTTTACTTTTAACTGTCCACAACAACAGAGCCCACGTGCAATATTCCCACCAGTGCGTGTACAGCCAAGGGCGGCTACTGTGGCGACACATGTGCTGGAAACGAGATTCCTATTTACAATCTCTGCAACACTGCAAAGTGCGTCTGCTGCACTGCAAGTAAGTTTGTCGTCTTTCGTCAGTCGAGAGAGAATATGAGACTTTTAAATTATGTTTTATAAAGTTTTTACAGCAAAATGAGGTTATGTATACCAACAGAAATTTCATTCACAACAAAAATTGCGGATATTCATGTCTGTATATTTAAAGAAATATAAAGTAAATATATTTAAGAATGTCTATTTTGTAATAACAATTTTATATCATAGTAAAAAACCAGCGTTGAATGTAACAATGAAACACCATTTTCTGGGTGAGTCCCGGATCCTCATCGGAGCTATACTGGGCTGATATCCATATATATATTTATTAGACCATTGCATCAGTCAATTTGATTGGAGTTCTTAGCCTACCAGGGGCCACGAAGCAGAACCTGCCCCCCCATCCCCTCAGAGAGGTACGAGGAGCAAAGGCCTATAGAAACACCAATGTTGATTGAAGCATTCTATGTCTGACATCAACCGGGTTAGACACCCAGAAAGGTAGGCGTCCCAAAACAAACTGGTTAAAAATTGCTACCGAAAGCCGAACTAGCAAGCAGAACTCCCCAAACCGAAAATAGACAAGCAAGCATGACATAGCCACCGCGCCGCTGTCTGCGCAGCTCCCCTCTCCCGGGAAAGGAGAACTTTAGAAACCTCTTCGCCGGGAATCCAACCCCAATTCAGTGGCTGAATATCAAAAATGCGAAAACCGCAACCGGAGGGAAGCAGTTTAATTTGTTTATTAATAGCCTCCAAACATGTTTTGCTTCCTTCGAAACAAAAGTAATTATTCAATAAATCTGCAAATTTTCTGTGATAATTAAAAATATCCGATTTAGGAAAAGTATAAATGTGTATTAATACAATTTCCTTTTACTATTAACTGTCTGAACCAACAGAGCCATCGTGTAATATTCCCACCAGTGCGTGTACAGCCAAGGGCGGCCGCTGTAGCGACTCATGCGGCGTAAGTGAGATTCCTTCTTATAATCTCTGCAACACTCCAAACTGTGTCTGCTGCACTCCACGTAAGTTTTACGTCTTTCGTCAGTTCAGATAGAATTTGAAACTTGTAAATCACATTTTCCAAAGTGTTTACAGAAAATGTCACGTATTCCAAAGTTTTTACAACAAACTAAGGTTGTGTAGTCCAACAGGATTTCATATAAAACAAAAACTGCTGAAATTTTTGTCTGAAGATTCAAAGGAAAAGGAAATTGAAACACTTTAAGAATTACTATTGTGTATAAAAGTTTTATACTGTAGTAAAAAAATGGAATCATTTTTAAATACAAGTAAATGATTTAGTACAACTGTCTTGAGTGTCTATTAGACTGTTAATAGGAGCACTAAAACTTCTTTACTGATTTTGCAGAAAATTAATGTATTGAAGCCCTTTACACCCAAGGTTCCCAGAGCATCACTGTATGTTAATAAATTATTTATTAATAATCTCCTGATGCATTTTGTTTCCTTGCGAACACAAATAATTATCATTCGATAAAGCTGCAGATTTTCAATTATAATTGGAAACACCCGTAGTCATGAAAGTATGTGTATTAATACAATTTCTTTATACTACTGTTAACAGAGCCATCGTGTAATATTCCCACCAGTGCGTGTACAGCCAAGGGCGGCCGCTGTAGCGACTCATGCGGCGTAAGTGAGATTCCTTCTTACAATCTCTGCAACACTCCAAACTGCGTCTGCTGTACTCCACGTAAGTTTTACGTGTTTCGTCAATCCAGATAAAATTTGACATTTTTAAGTTAGACCTTAAACTTAGTTTAGACCTTTACAAGTTAGTTAATATCATTTAACAAAATATCTGCTTATTGTAGAGACGATTGTAGTCAATTTACAATATATATATAATTAATTTACCACATTTTGCATTTGCACTGCTATTCAAACATTTATTGTTGTATTGTGTTTAAGCTTTATGCACCCCTAAGGAACTAAGCGCATCACTGTATGTTAATAATTGGTTTAGTAATAGTCTCCAAACATATTTTCTTCCCTCGAAGCAAACATAATTATTAGATATATCTGCAAATTTTCTGTGATAATTCAAAACATCCGAATTCATGAAAAGTATAAATGTATATTAATACAATTACCTTTTACTACCCTTAACTGTCTAAACCAATAGAGCCAACGTGCAACATGGTCGCCAGTGCGTGTATGGCCAAGGGCGGCTACTGTAGCGGCACATGCAACACAAATGAAATTCCTTTTTACAATCTCTGCAACACTCCATACTGCGTGTGCTGCACTCAACGTAGGTCTTTTGACTTTCGTGAATCCAGATAGAATTTGAAACTTGTATGTCACGTTTATTTGACTAGTTGACTATAAAGACAAGTGTAGAATTTGAAACTTGTATGTCACGTTTTCTAAAGTTTTTACAGCAAAATAAGGTTGTGTATTCTAAGAGAATTTCATACACAACAAAAACTGCGGAAATTCATGTCTGTTGAATCAAATGAAATTAAAGTGGAAAAACTTTAAGAATTACTATTGTGTATAAAAGTTTGATACTGTTGTAAATAAAAATTGAATCATTTTTGAAAACAAATAAATGATTTATTACAACTTTTGAGTGTACATTTGACTGTTATTAGAAGCACTAAAACGTCTTTATTGATTTTGCAGTAAAATAATGTACTGAAGCCCTTTACACCCAAGGTTGTCAGAGCATCACAATATTAATAAATTTTTTATTAACAATCTCCAAACACATTTTGTTTCCTTCCAAACAAAAATAATTATCATTTGATAAAGCGACAAATTTTCAATTACAATTCAAAACACCCGCAGTCATGATAGTATAATATGTATTAATACAATTTGTTTTTACTATCCTTAACTGTCTGAACCAACAGAGCCCACGTGCACCACTCCCACCAGTGCGTGTACAGCCAAGGGCGGCCGCTGTAGCGACACATGCGGTGTAAACGAGATTCCTTCTTACAATCTCTGCAACACTCCAAATTGCGTCTGCTGCACTCCACGTAAGTATTTTGACTTTGGTCAATCCAGATAGAATTTGAAACTTGTAAATCACATTTTCCAAAGTGTTTACAGCAAAATGAGGTTGTGAAGTCCAACAGGATTTCATAATCAACAAAAAACTGCTATAAATAATTTCCTGTGGGGAGCCCAGTAGGATCCCTGGAGCTATTGAAGTGATATTAGCTATATTAGTCAGGAAGCTTCAGTCATATGGAGTTGTCATGCCTACCAGGAGCCACTAGTTACAACAAGGTTTCTTCAGATAGGCGAAGGGAGCAATGACCTGTACTCCACTGTTTGGGAGTACATTCATTTCCACCATCGACCAGGGTTGGGTACCCAGAGAGGTAGGCGACCCAAAACAGACCCCAACCGGTAGAAAATTGCAACCTGAGATCGAAATAGAAGCTAAAAACTCCCATATATAGTGTATTTTTAAATTTTTTGTTTTTTTCCTGATTTTAACTTGTATAATCCAACAGAGCTCTCCTGTAGCGTCCCCACCAGTTCTTGTACAGCCAAGGGCGGCCGCTGTAGCGACATATGCAACGCGAACGAAGATGCATTCTACAATCTTTGCAGCACCAGCACCTGTTCCTGCTGCGTTCCAAGCAAGTCTTATTCTCATATAAACCAATTCATAGCAAGAGTCTAGATTACACAGCATATGAAGAGAAAGTTTAGATGACACAGTTGACGAGAAACCATGTAAACATTGAATTTAATGTAAATTTGAGTTTTAGCATGAATATATATATATATATATATATATATATATATATATATATATATATATATATATATATATATATATATATATATATATATATATATATATATATATATATATATATATATATATATATATATATATATATATATTACTATCAAACTACCAAACGAATTGTTTGGTTAATTTGCCTTTCGTTTAAATTCGGAACAAATGTAATTATTTAGTTCAGGTTATATTTAGACATACTATTCTAGGCTCGGCTTCGTTCGGTTAGACTGAGCATAATTTTCAGCAGTATTTATAATAATAATAATAATAATTCTTAGATAAAAGTACATACATACAAAATGAGTTATAAACTGAATGTTGTATTTGATAGTCTAAAATTTACAAAAAGTTGTTTTACAATAGTATCTAAAGATTTGTTCTCTTATCAAACCTTTGCTCTCACATCAAACGTGATCAAACTCTTTGCTCTCACATCAAACGTGATCAAACTCTTTGCTCTCACATCAAACGTGATCAAACTCTTTGCTCTCACATCAAACGTGATCAAACTCTTTGCTCTCACATCAAACGTGATCAAACTCTTTGCTCTCACATCAAACGTGATCAAACTCTTTGCTCTCACATCAAACGTGATCAAACTCTTTGCTCTCACATCAAACGTGATCAAACTCTTTGCTCTCACATCAAACGTGATCAAACTCTTTGCTCTCACATCAAACGTGATCAAACTCTTTGCTCTCACATCAAACGTGATCAAACTCTTTGCTCTCACATCAAACGTGATCAAACTCTTTGCTCTCACATCAAACGTGATCAAACTCTTTGCTCTCACATCAAACGTGATCAAACTCTTTGCTCTCACATCAAACGTGATCAAACTCTTTGCTCTAAGGATTTGCTCTCTTGCCAAACCTTATAACTAATGTAAAGAAAGGCTATCATACTATATCTTTGTCTAGAGAAGATATTGGGGGCAAGGCAGGAGCCAATATGCCACTAATCCTTGTGTCAACCCACATAACTTCAATTACCTCCTTAGAGAATGTCCCTCCCAGGCGCTTCTCCAACAAGCACAGTCAGGCCATAAATGATAACTCTCCAAATCACCTCCAAAAGAGGTTAATTAGAGTTTAGTTTGAAGCACAAAACACCATTGTATATTAATAATATGGTTATCAACAGTCTTTTAGATGTTATCTTCGAAATAAAATTTCATATAAAAAAATACTCTTGAGAATTGTCGAGTTTCAGTAAAATATCGAATAATTGGCTATGAGTTATAGTTGTTATATATGTTATGATTTTATAACTTGCTAATTTCCGGGTAAACCATCAGAGGCTTCCTCGTGCGACGCCCAATCCCCTGCCTGCGTAGCCAAGGGCGGCCACTGCTGCTATTCGTGTACACCAGAAGAGGATCTAATCCCTAATCTCTGCACCCCTGGAAACTGTTCCTGCTGTGTTCATAGTGAGTTTTTCCGCCTTTAGTGAACTTCTAAATGGGTTCTAGAGTGTTTTCTCATCGGCCACAGGTAACTGTTTTAAGAGGACTTGTATTTGAGAAAGTCCACAGGAGCCGTGATCAGGATTCGAACCTATAAGTTCGGTACGTTGACACGGAAGATAAGATGTCACTCATGCAGCAATGCTCTCCCCCCCCCCTCTCCCCTATATTCCATGTAGGGTTCAGGTAACTAAATATATCAGACAAACAATGCAGATTTACTATCATTGTATTTGTATAGTGTAATACAAATACATTGAACTATAGTACAATGAGTATGTGAGTACAGACACACAGACGAAGATATAAATTAACATTCACCGGAAAAAATAACTAATGCTCGTTAAAATCTCACATTATAACTTTTCTTCCGTTCTCTCATATCTCTCTGGCCTCGTCTCATGACAGAAACATCAGGGCCCTCGTGCAGCATCCTTACTAACGAGTGTAGAGCCTTCGGGGGCCGCTGCAGCGCCACATGCAGCACAGACGAGGATCACTATCAGGATATCTGCTCCTCTAGAGAATGCTTCTGCTGCATTAACAGTAAGTATTTCCCCCCCCCCAAGCCGTAATTCATAACCAGGGATATTCATGTAACTCCGAGAAAATATTTTTCGAGAATAGACTTTTACTTTTGTTGTTTTACTCATATACTATTTTATTTACTAAGGTGTGTAACTAATGACCTAACAGAGCCAACGTGCCAGAGCCAGACGTATGAGTGCCGGGTCAGAGGAGGACGGTGCAGCGCCACCTGCGGCAGAGACGAGGACCCACACCTCGGCCTCTGCACCAGCAGAACCTGCTTCTGCTGTGTTAAAAGTACTGTAAGCTTTAGTATTGTTATAATTATTAGCTGTACCCGGCCACGCGTTGCTGTGGCTGAGCAACGCATGTGTGTTGCTGAGCCACAGCAACCCTACCCTGTCCCCCCCCCCCCGTCCTCCCCACCAATTCCCCCGCCACATCCCCTCGTCCTCCCCACCATTCCCCATCCCCCGTCCCCTCGTCCCCCTTTAACACTGTACATCCTTCGCTGCCCATTTGGAACGAAGTGTAAAACTAATCAGATAACGTGTCTTACAATGCTCACGTTCTTGTGTTCATTTCAAATGCAGAATAAATGTGATTTTTTATTCTTTGATTTCAAGTAAGACTCGATAATTATTTCCATAAATACATTTCAGTTTCGCCAACTTCCTGCGAACAACAATCCGATTGTACCATGATAAAAGGCAAGTGTAAGACCCAATGTACAGCTCCAGATATCTCCTACCCTGATCTGTGTTTGGGCAACCCGTGTACCTGTTGCTCCTCCTTGGTGAAGCCCAGCAGCCCTGAGTCCTGCTCAAGGGCCGAGGGCTACTGCATTCCTTCTTCTCAACTCTGCTGGGGCGTCTTCTGGGGCTCCTGTGGCTCCAGCCAGCAACTCTGCTGCGTCGATTAGGAACAAGTAACACCGACTGAACTTGGAACATTTATGAGTCCTTTTTTCGGCCCATTTTAGGTAATGCAACTCTGAGTATTTGCCAAAGTCCCTTTGAGTGTTATCGGCATATTTATTATTTTATTTATATGTAACAATAAAGGTCCTTAGACAATCATGATCAGTTCCAATCAAGCTTGCATTACCAACAGTGTAACAACTGCTTCTACGTTCTGAATATAACATTTGATATCATAATCTGTAACAATGTCAACTGTTTTAAATGTTTCTTAATACGCTACTGTTATCTAGCGAATTATTAAAGGTTTGATAACGGCTGAATAATAACTTCCATACAATCGTTTAGGGCCAATGAAGATACTCCACATTGGCATAGGGACTTGTCTGTCATAAATATTTATACCTGTTTCCAAGCTTCTTTATTTATACTTTCTCATATATATCTATTTATCTGTTTTGGATTATTATTATTGATCAATCTTTAATCATTGATATGGAACATTGTGTCTGATCTTTAAACGAATTGGATAATATATATATATATATATATATATATTATATAGGGACCCATATACAGGTATATCTTTCTGAATGTATGAACACTTATTATATTTTATGCTTTTTTAAAGCCTGCTATAAAATGCTTTTACATTTCATATTGTGGGCTGTTAATGTTTTAGCCTTATATATATAATCTGTTTTAATGAAGATACAAAATTATATAATACAATTATTATTGAGAGAGCAATAAAAAAAAATCCTAATTTACAAATTTATTTACCTTAAAATCGTTTGCCACAAATAAGATTTTATATTTGGTTTCAACCAATTTGTTACACGTTTATATTTTCAGAAATTTTTCATTATATGTAATTTTTCATATTTATTTCATAAAGTTCTGTAAACTTTACAGAACTTTATGAACACTCAATAGGAGGGGTTACTCGGCGGTGCCCGGGGACTGTCTGACTTTACCCTTCTCTCCCACCTATTCCACCCCCACTTCTTTTTCCTCTCCCCACGTCCCCCATCCCATTTTCCCTCCCTCCCTTTCACCCCTCCCCTCAACTCCGTCTATCCTCTCATCTCCCCATTCTTCCCTTTTTCATCCTCACCCCATCATTATACCCTCACCTTTCTAACCTATTTTTAACCTAACCCTTTCCCCTACTCAAACCCCCTCGCTGGAAACATGGGTGAGGCAGCACCCAGGCGTCTGAACTCCGTCTTTGGACAGAGAGAAAAACAGACGTTCTCTTCTATATATTTAAATCAGTTTATAAAAAGAGAGATGGCAGGAATAGCAAATATTTGTACGAATCTGCTGCCTCTTTGAAGTGTTATGAGTGTTAGTTCGAGGATCATTTAATCATATACAAATATTTTAGAGAAAACTGGGTGAATGAAATGCCAAACACCCGCGAACAGCTGGGAATAGTTTGGTACTCGAATAGTAGTACCGTTACCTTGAAGACATGGAGCTGGGAATTAACCACCAGTTAACGCAGCTAACCCCCCCCCCCCCCCCCCGAAGTAATCGAAGCCTGGCCTGGTCACTAAGGGAGGAGTTAGTCTGCTTCCACTTCCCGAGTGATATGGTACTGGCTCACACACAGAACTATTGTTAGCTTGTTTCGTCAGCAGAAAGTGGTGGATCCGTCTTGCTAACACCTACATCGTCTATTCTTCCCCACAGTCCTATATGATGGAGGTTAGTGTGTTGTAGATCACTGGGTATAGATTTTGTCAGCAAAGACAGTAAACTCAGGAGAAATATAAACTACGCAACTAATTATGTAAACACCGATGACGAGCTGCGCCAAGTGATCAACATTGTAAAATAATTTGTACACAGCGTGTATTAGAGGGAGGGAGGGTACGTATGTATTAAATACTTTGGTGGCGGTTTTAGCATGAATATATAATGACATCCCCTCGAAAGTCTTTAAGTTAAGGCGCCAATAATCGCCGAGATGGAAGTTGTAACGACGATATCTCAAGCATACACTCTAATAGCATTATCAAGGCCCAGCTAAATTGTAGAAGTGTGTTGCACACGACGAAGTTCAGGCTGGGTGTCGTCAGTGCTCTATGGTCATTGTGGGTCATCCATTAGAGGTCACGCTGTCGTTCAGACTCAAATATAATTGTTGAGGCAACTCCCGGAGGAGTGATTCGAATAATATTTATACGAAATCACAGACAAACTACTAAATTTTATCTGAATGCTCTTTATTTCCTTCTCCAAGGCTATGGGTCTCCACAATTGCACTTTGTGTTATAAGGAAATGAACATGCTTAGTGACACAGAGTAATTTATCTTAGTTTACTAGCAATAAACAAGCATTTCTATACACGTGATAAATCTATGTAGGTGTGTGTATATGGAAGGGGGCAAGGGGGAACTGACTTTAAATATTAACCAAGGTCTCTAATGGTGGTGAGGACGTGGTGAAGAAGTGGATCCAGTTCCACTCCCTCCAGGCGCTCGTCCAGCTGCTTGAAATCCAGTTGCTCGACCAGATCTCGCGGCTCGACCATCACGTCCGGGGCAGCCAGCAACTCTGGTCAAGGAACGACACAGACATAAACAGTAGATAATGGAAAACACTGGAATTATATGACCTGTGAGCGGGAGTGGTAGTGACGGTTGCGTGGGCAGAGGGACAATATTTTATGCAACATTATCATGAGAAATTAGTGGCCATCGTAGCAAGGGTTAAGTGAACTACCATGGCGTACAGTCATGATTGAGAGTGATTACAAATGCAATGTATTAAGAAAAATAACGACTTACAAATGCCAACGTATTTAGACATTGAACTGGATAGTTTAGGTTGGTTACGAGCGTTCATACTTTTCTAGTTAGGTTACAATCCGTGGTTCTACGGAGTAGAAAATGAAGAGCTTAAGCAAATGAAGAGCTTAAGCAAATGAAGAGCTTAAGCAAATGAAGAGCTTAAGCAAATGAAGAGCTTAAGCAAATGAAGAGCTTAAGCAAATGAAGAGCTTAAGCAAATGAAGAGCTTAAGCAAATGAAGAGCTTAAGTAAATGAAGAGGAGTAGCAAATGAAAAGCCAGTGTGACCTGCACTATCACACTCTATCGTGTAGATACTCTACATGATAGAGTATCTACATGATAGACACTCACCATAGCAGAAGAGTCTCTCCGCGAACGCAGAGACGAGGATAAATATTTCCCTGTCGAGAGCGATGTCTGGAAGAGGCACTAGTCCTGTGAGTCTCCCCAGCTGCGCCTCCGTCAGGGTCCCTCCCAGGGCATCGCCAAGGGCAGCTCCGAAGTCAGCCACCAGCATCCTCTCCACTCTGATGCTCTAAGACAAAGCCAAACGGGTTTCAATCCATGTTAATCAAGATGTCTCTCAAAGTCTTGACTCTATTCACGGTTACTTGAAGAATCTCACGATCAATCCTCGCAAGAATAAATTAGTAGTTAAATAAAATAATTTTCAGCTATAAAGGTCCTCAAATCTCTTGACCTTTGACCTTGTTTCTTTAAATTGGCGACAATAATTGTTGATAATTTTATAAATTATCATTTATGAAATGATTTGATGTCACTTGATAATTTATAAACCTATAACCTAAATCTGAAGATAATATGTATTGTAAGATATATTCGTAAAAATCGACCAATACTTTACAGAAAATATGGTTTCTCATTCCTGTCACAAAGAGAATTAAGATCTTCAATAATATGGAACAAAATATAAAGAAATCGTTTCTTATATTAAATAAATTTAGCTGAAAGAATTTAGGTATAACGAACAAATGGATCAAACACCATTGTGTCAAAATATATATAAACAATATTTCTTTTGGTCGAAGTTGTCGTCTGAGGGTTCCGAACCTGTCATTTGAAGGCTCCAAAATGATGGAATAACAAATTGTAAACATTAGTATTTGTTCTTCTGGTGAAGAGCTCCGACTTCGGTATCTTTCCTATCAGCTGAGTCGATCAAAACATTACGTATGGCGTTAAAAAGACGTCATTGGTTTAGTCAGTGTTTGTCAACAAAAGACGCAAGTTTGATTCATAATTAATCTTCATTAATCACAATGTTTCAATTAATATTAATATGTTATCTTGTATGATAGAGGGAAATGTGTTATACTTACTACTCGATCCTTTAAACTATTTCAAATAAAAACAAAGTTTAGTATTTTATGAAATAAAGTCATTTGCCATTGGCTGACACAATTAGCGTCCTTCATTTGAGACGTGCAGCCTGATTGGCTCAGGGAAATCTCGTGGACGCTGGAAACTCAAACACCGTGAGAAATAAATCCAAACTATCATTAGTCAAACTCTCGACCATCCTAAGTAGTAAAACCATATAGAGAATGAGTGTATATATATTTCAGGACAAATGGGGAGAACCTTTGACAAGCCACAGGCTTCCTGTCTTCGTCGAGACCACTAGAGATATAGTGGCTCTCTGGTAAATTCAGGTAAAAAAAGGAAGCGTGGACGGGAGAATATATGTTAGGGATAGTGTGTGAAGGAGGGAATATGTAAGATGGGGAAAGACGGTGGATAAAGGCATATGCCATATGGGGGATGGTGGGTAAGGACATGTGGTGGACGGCGTGGATAGGGACGGGGCGTGGATAGGGACGGGGCGTGGATAGGGACGGGGCGTGGATAGGGACGGGGCGTGGATAGGGACGGGGCGTGGATAGGGACGGGGCGTGGATAGGGACGGGGCGTGGATAGGGACGGGGCGTGGATAGGGACGGGGCGAGGCCACAGGCTCACCTCCAGGTCTCGATGTCTGGAGAACACCATGGAGTAGAGCTGGCGACGGGACGTCCTCAGACGCATGTACTTCTTCAGGTAGTCTATAGGACGCAGATCTGCCGGACGACACCTCTTGTCACACCTCTCACTCTCAACACATCTTCTGAAGCATTTTAATCTACAAAGAATGTATTTATATATACTAGGAAGGGGGGATGTGCGGCGTTGCTCGGATCTGTCCCCCATCTGTCTGTATCTATCCATCTATGTATGCATATATCTACCTAATTATCTATCCATTCATCTCTCCATCTATCCACTGATCCCCTTTCATCTCATCTACCCTGCATCTTGTATATTCATTGCATACACTCTCATCACCTTAGCCATCTTCACTAGTCACTATCATCATCACTGATATTATCTTCCCTGCTCACTATTTTCCTTAATTACTTTCCAATTACAAGCGAAAGTTTGTGGTAAACTCTACGGAAATCACATCCCCTATTTAATTTCAGATTACATAAAAATCGCACGGGGGTGCGGTGGGGATGAACAGATATATTTTTTAAAACATTTAATTTAGGCCTATGTTCGTCCCTTGCTCCAGACCATTCCCCTTGCAAATTTGGGTGAGGCTAACCCCAAGCCTCTGGTCTCCATCTTCGAACAGACATGCTTATACAATAGATAAATGTTGTCAATGCTTACCAAGGAGTCTCGTGATTTGAACTGGGAGAGTGAAAACGGCAGCGCGATGTGACGGACTACGGGGGAGACTAAACCAAAACACTTCTGCTTCAGTGAGTGTCGCACCCCCAGGTCCCCCACCCAGTGTCTCCTTAAGTCGTACCAACTCTGAACCGTCCTCGGGAGGATTGCTGGCTCCCAAGAATTGCTATAGAATTCAAAATAGGTTTTATTATTTATTATTAATAATATATTATAATTATTGTTAATATCATAAGTATTATTATTGTCATTATTGAGTCTTAATTTTCATTAAAATTGTCATTGCACAATGATATCACATTACCGTGTTGTACCAATGAGAAAGAAATCAGTACGAGCCATGAAGGGGATTCGAACCAGCACACATCCTCCTCATAGCTCCTACTCATTTTCTCATTACTGTAATTATTAATAATACTATCAACATGTCATCGAAAACAATTATCAAGAGATACACACCGGGAGAGGTACCCCATTTTCTGATGTATATACTTCGAGAGTGTCCTTAAGTTCCGAACTATATTAAGATGTAAGATATAACTGTTAGTCGCTCAGTAAGCTAGTATCACGGACTTAATAAGCTTCGGGAAGGTGATAGACCTTAAGCACCGTACCACAGCAAACCAAGAAGTGCTGTTTAACAAGAGCTAATAAAAGAAAATTACCAAGCTGAGCTCTAAAATGTATATATTGGTGATCTTAGTGTCACTAAGACAATTAAGAGTATATATAGTATTTGAGAAACTGTGATGTCGTTCTTTAGGCACTAATGTCCATGCAGGAATGACCTTCGACCTCACAAGGATTATCTTTAAAAAATCATGTTTTTTTCAGCTTATAAACATGAAATAAAAAATATATATTTTGCTATATAGTCGTAATGGTTTGGCGCTTTCTCCTGATAGTTCGCTTCCCTTCTTAAGCAACGAACAACCATCAGTGGCAGTTTTGTTTACGAACGAAACGTCATCTTTAATGACGTTTCGTTTCAACTAGTAGTGTACCTCATTCTCAGAAGTTCAAGTTCAGTTAATCCAACTTGAACAAAAAATCTGTTTGGAAAATGCAGGGCTAAATTTGGAGAGAAAATTTTATGAGGCGAGAGACAGGTAAAAGTAAAGTGCATAATCTCATTAAGCGGAAAGGAAGGAATCGTGCGAGAAAATTCAACGGTTTTGGAGTTGTATAATTTAGACATTTGTGGTGTTTTGTAAGCTGAAACTTAAGCATTCTGTAAGGTGGGACTGTAGTGCTCTGTAAAGTGTCTGTAGAGCTCTGTAATATGAGACTGTAGTGCTCTGTAATATGAGACTGTAGTGCTCTGTAATATGAGACTGTAGTGCTCTGTAAGATGAGACTGTAGTGCTCTGTAATATGAGACTGTAGAGCTCTGTAATATGAGACTGTAGTGCTCTGTAATATGAGACTGTAGAGCTCTGTAATATGAGACTGTAGTACTCTGTAATATGAGACTGTAGTGCTCTGTAATATGAGACTGTAGAGCTCTGTAATATGAGACTGTAGTGCTCTGTAATATGAGACTGTAGAGCTCTGTAATATGAGACTGTAGTGCTCTGTAATATGAGACTGTAGTGCTCTGTAAGATGAGTTCTTAGCGTTCTGTAAGGTGAGACTGTAGATAAATTTGTGTAACGCTGTATTGTAAATATACCTCTTAGTTTAAAGGAAAAATCTGCTTTATTGTCATATATTCCGGTCTTACAGTTTGGCTTTTTACTGAAAAGCCAATATATAGGGAGGAGACACGCCATTTGTGTACCTTAGAGCCACATGGGTGTGAAAAAAGGAATTTTGACCCGTATCAGAAAAAAAAGCTTATTACCACACCTTTAAATGTACACAAATACCTTAGGGTCGTAGGACAGTGGGTCGTGAAGTCTGCGATGAGACGAAGACGACTTTGAGGATCTTGCTGACGTGGGTTTAGACGAATGTGAGCTCCCTGATCTCCGTGACGACCCCACTCGACTGTCGCCTACCGTAGATACCTCGTAAAAGAACTCGGAATTACCCAGATTATCCCTTTCGTAACTGGCAGATCTCATTCCGGAAATACTACTAATTCCACATCAATTCGTAACAACAAAACTAATATTGCTATGTTTTACAGGCTGTTCACACGACTACCTTTTTTTTAAGTTAATTGAACTTGAAAATCCTTTCAAAAACCTACTGCTGTCTGGCCTGGATCGTCAAGGCCTCCTTCCTCTCCTCTCTTCTTGCCGCCCCGACGTGGGCGGCGTTTGGGTGGCTGCTTGTCCCCGCCCAGCCCAGAATCTTCGCTGTCCTGTGGGCGGCAGTCAACAGATGAGCAACACTCTTGTACTCTCTCATTAGTCAGCAACTCAGCTGACTAATGAGAGAAGAACAGACAATGACACCAAACAAAATTACGTTAAACGGGAAATAGTGAGATAAAAAAAATGTAGATTTCATTTATTAATGCTAATCATCTGGTATTTTTACATTAATCATGTATTAATTACATATTAATCGTTCGTTAAACAGTAATATGCTGCAGTGACTACAAGCAGACCTGTAGTGTGTGTTCTAATCCTTCTTGTAACGGTGTTCGGATGTGCGAAATAATTACCAAATTCAAAATCTCAATTACATATTTATAAAAAGTATTAAAACTACAGAAAATACAGAAAGTGTTGGAAGTTAGTAAGAAATCATTGAACTACAACTCAAACGAAATTACAAGACAACATTTTTTGCGACGTAATGTTTCAAATTAAATCTAAATATATTTGTGCAAATTTAAGAAATATAACCAAATATTTCGATATCAGAGAGGAACCCCTTTAACTACCGAAGAGATGAAGTGAACACACATACCAGGGAATGAAGTGAGGCGTTATCATGTCAAGAGCACTCTGCAAGTAGGTACCAGGGAATGAAGTGAGGCGTTATCATGTCAAGAGCACTCTGCAAGTAGGTACCAGGGAATGAAGTGAGGCGTTATCATGTCAAGAGCACTCTGCAAGTAGGCCTTAGTCTCATTTTACAGTACTGAGAGACAACTGTCTGCCCATTAAGCGCCTGGACTCTCAGCTAACCGAAGAGTATAACGGGGCAAGAGTGCTCAGTCCCATCGACTGGGCACCTCTTCACTTTACCTCAACCCACATGGTATATGTACTGTCAAACCTGTTATTTTGTATTCGTTTTCCTCTGCCTCCGAAGATGTTGAAGAGAGTTTTAGTGCAACATGTCTTTTTGAGGCACGCGTCAGGCCTTATAAAATTATAAAATGAGATTTGGAGAGTTAAGTTTTCAACTTCCTTCCCAAGTGGAGAACACATAAGAAAAATAGAGAAGAGCTAACTTTTCGGTCATATTCAATATCACACACACACCACACGCGCACACACACACACACACACACACACGAGACCTGTGTCATTGAAGGGAATATATCTTCAAGAGCCTCAGACCAAGACGACTTGAGAGGAGGGAGGAGGTCGTAGTAGTTCCTCTCAGCCAACATGAAGGCAGAGGCAGCAGAGACGAACTTGGAGGGTCCGTCTCTCCTGGCCACCGGCGGCAGCTCAGTAGACGGGGCAGCGTTCTCGGAGACGTTCGTGAGGTCCGTCTCTCTCGTACTCTCCCCCTCTGAGAAATCTTTTAGACTTTGCATGGCTGCTTTCAGCTTTCTTTTATTTTTAGGGGTCGAGACCGCCTGGGAGGGCCCTTTGGTCGGCTTATCTTCTGGGTTTGTGGAGACGGTCTTAAGGCGAGACGTGACCTCATACCAGAAAGCTGTGTTGCGACTTAGGGACACCAGAAGTTCTTCTTTGAATCTTCTTCTCTTCTCGTCAATTTTTTGAGAACCTGATCTTTTCTTTCTTTTATTTTTTCTGCCTTTCAGAGAGTCTTCGGTCGAGCCTTTTCTCTGTTTCTTCTTCGGAATTTGTAGTTTCAACAACTCTGCCATGATGTCACTTCCTAAAAAATCAGCCTTTTCCAGCTCATTGTTGTATAGGTTATCTACTTGTTGGGACTTTTTGGTGAGTCTCTTGCTGCTGCTCTTCCTTTTATGGCGCTTGGCTTTGGTAGTGTCTCGACGCATTTCATCATCGTCAGAGTTTTCCTCTGAAGATTCATAAGCTTTTAGCTGTCCTTTCTTTCTGAGAAATTCCATGAATTTCCAGCGAGATCGCGCCTCTGTAAGGGGCGAACACTGGACGCTACTGTGATGGGCGTCGCTTGTTGAGGCTGTGTACTGGGAGCACTCTGCCAAGGGTATCCTGGAGGCACCGTCAGCCGCATCACGCAGGTGGTGGGGCATCTTGAGTGTGCGATACGTCGCTGATCGACTCGTGTGACCGTCTTCACCTGCATTATCCAAAGATACTGAAGGTCTCCTGTTGAGCAACTGTAAGCGCTCGGTGGGTGATGTATGGGTCTGGTAGAGACGAGTTCTGTTTTGGTCAGAATGGTGAAAATCTCTCAACTCGACAGAGTCAAAAACCACAGCCGATTTCGTATCTGTGTCAGCAACCGTTGGCTGGTCAGGGTAAATATTGTTTCGTTGTTTGGTAAAAGTGGTGTTACTCTTGTTATGAAACAAATGTGATTGAATAGCGCATGTATTGCTACCATCACCAGTATCATCTGCGCTTGATAAATTCAGGTCGACGCTGCCGGGTTGTCTTGGAGCGTCATGATCTCTAACCGGAACTGTTCTCCTGTTAGTAAGCTTGGCTGTAAGAGGCCTTGGGTGGATTACCAGCTTTTGGGCCAAGATTTCGAAACTAAACAAGGACTGGTGATGCAGACAGCGACCAACACACTTACGGGAAGTAGCTTGGCCTGGCCACAAGGTACCCTTCGTGCAGCGTCTTGGCAGACCTGGGAAGTGCCAAGACGTTACCTCGTCTGTCTTACTTTCCTCGCATCTCTCCGACGCCCACTCAGCACTCAACACCTGCTCTTGATTTTTGTTCATTTTCAGAATAGAAGGCAGCTTAAAAGAGTGGGGCTCTCCAGTCTTATCCTTCTCATATTCTTCATATTCCCGGTCAAGATTCTCAGTACTAGCAACCTGCTTTTTGGTTTTGCTAATTTCTCCTTCTTCTTGCTTTTTAATAAGCACTATTCTCCATTCTTTGAGAGGCATTGGTTGAAAGTGGTCGCCAGCGGTGGCATGTGACACAAGTCTTTCACTAGCCTTGTCATGTCTATCTCCTGACTTAGACTCCTTCCACAGGGTCTTCTTAAGACCCTTTGTCTCCTTTCTTATACCTTTGTAATTTTCTGGATAGCTTGACTTTATAAAATTTGCCAAAGCTTCAATATTTACCAAGCTCCTTGTGTCGCACAAGACAGCGTCTCGGTAATGTTGCCTACCTAGCATGCCGAGTCTGCCGGAGTGTCTGTTTGGTGGAAGAATGAGGCTGTGGTACCTGCCACTTGAGCCGTGTCTTCTAGATTCCCGCTTCCTCAAGCTGGCGGTGATAAGTGCAGATCTACGGCAGTAGATGAGAAGACCAGGGCGCCTCACCACCTGTCGAACCTTGCTGGGGTCAAGACAGGAGTGGGTCGAGTACCTGATCACCTGGCGACCGATCTTTTGTAGACTCAATATAACACGCCCATTGGACCCTTTCCTCTTTCTCCCGCGGGACCTACGAATCGTTTTATTCTTGAAATTCTTTTGTTTATTTACGTAGATGCCTTCACTCAAGCTGGCTGTTTTGGCTCTTTGTCCCTTAAATGTTGATGCATCTTTACAGCAGCTTGTAGCTGCTCGTTCCCTTGATGTTAAAAGATGAATATCATTGCTCAGTCTCCAGCTCTTGGCCCCGTCACAACCGTACACACGCCGTGTCACTTCACCAGTATCACATAGCTCTCGATCCATGCTTCTACCACGACGTGTCACACGAGTATTTATCTCCATTATAATAAATAAAACCAATTGTTATTATTCCCAGGGCGCCAGAAGCATGGCTCCTCTCCCTCGCCACTACACCTCTGTACTGATAGAAAATCGCTTGATCACACGACCATAAGTGAGAGGTTCCATAGATGGGTGCAAGGTGCTGCTACTATCCCGGCTTCCGTACTGGTCGAGGCAGGTCGGGACATTCACAACCTTTATTGTAGAGCTGAATGTTATCTTTCTTCAGAGCAAAGCAATGTAACAGGAGCCGAAGTGAGTGTGAGAAGTGATGATAGTTTACTGAAGGGAGGGTTATGGCAGCCGTCAGGCAGGGGTGGGTTTGTTGACGTAAGTTATTACGGGGTTATTGGGCGTCACAGCTCCGCCACCCCTCCGTCCTGGGGGCGGGGGGAAGTCTCCAGTATATGCCATTAAATGCTCAAACAATTTGGAATGTATGTTCGAGGGGGCGCCTGAAGGTCATAAGTCACTGTATTAGACAACCGTGGGTCAGGGGTCACTCTCTGGGTGTGGGGTCAGGGGTCACTCCCTGGGTGTGTCAGGGGTCACCCCCTGGGTGTGGGTCAATACTTTATTAAAATATCATTTACGGTATTCCCAATGCTTATTCTATGCAATAATTATCATAGAATTACTTCTGGACAATTAATAAAAACAAATACTAAGAGTAGCAGTTTGTTTAGTTTATGCATGAAAGAAACTTTATTAGTCCATTTTCTTCAATCATAACCATTTTCTGTTACAAATTTACCAGGGGTAACTTGATAGATTGTTGTAAATACTTATGTACATTGCAATAGGCAAGCGACGACTGAAAGGAAGAATTCAGGAGCGCACGTACGCATCCCCCCTCCTCCTCACACACACCCTCACACACTCTCTCTCTCATCTGAACTGTAAGACAACCATCACAATCAGATAACACACTTTAACTATTTGGTATCTACATTCCTCAACTGTTACATATCAACACACTTGAAAAATCAGATATCAACACCCCTGAACTATTACATATCAACTCACTTGAGCTTTCAGTTTATTCCTGGGGCCTTTCACACTGGCTTTTCTGTCCTGTTGTCTCTGTTGCTCGCGTTGGGTCTGCTGTTGCTGCTGCTGTTGCTGCTGCTTCTGCTGCTGCTGACCCTTGGCCACCAGATCCAGCTGCTTGGAGAGTTTGGTGGTAAAATCGGCCTCAAATCTTCCCTGTTTCCTGCTGCCAGCAACGCGACCTGTATTGGACGACTCGTGTGAATTACCCAGATGGGAATCTTCCTTATACTGCAAAATGTTGATATGTTAATTTTTTGTGATCTATCTTGAGGTTATCTTGAGATGATTTCGGGGCTTTAGTGTCCCCGCGGCCCGGTCCTCGACCAGGCCTCCACCCCCAGGAAGCAGCCCGTGACAGCTGACTAACTCCCAGGTACCTATTTACTGCTAGGTAACAGGGGCATTCAGGGTGAAAGAAACTTTGCCCATTTGTTTCTGCCTCGTGCGGGAATCGAACCCGCGCCACAGAATTACGAGTCCTGCGCGCTATCCACCAGGCTACCAGGCCCCCTGTGATGGGAACATCCAAAGTTTAAATTATTGATTTTTTAAACGTTTTTATATATTTTTTGTCGAGCCTAACAAGATTGGTTCAGTTCAAGTTTTCTTGAATTAGTATTTTATATTTTTTCGTGTATAAAATATTATTATATATTGGCATACGGTGCATATTTAAGTATTGGTTAGGTTAGGTTAGGTAAGGTTAGGTTAGGTTAGGTTAGGTAAGGTTAGGTTAGGTTAGGTTAGGTAAGGTTAGGTTAGGTTAGGTTAGGTTAGGTTAGGTTAGGTTAGGTTAGGTTAGGTTAGGTTAGGTTAGGTTAGGTTAGGTTAGGTTAGGTTAGGTTAGGTTAGGTTAGGTTAGGTTAGGTTAGGTTAGGTTAGGTTAGGTTAGGTTAGGTTAGGTTAGGTTAGGTTAGGTTAGGTTAGGTTAGGTTAGGTAAGGTTAGGTTAGGTTAGGTTAGGTTAGGTTAGGTTAGGTTAGGTTAGGTTAGGTTAGGTTAGGTTAGGTTAGGTTAGGTTAGGTTAGGTTAGGTTAGGTTAGGTTAGGTTAGGTTAGGTTAGGTTAGGTTAGGTTAGGTTAGGTTAGGTTAGGTTAGGTTAGGTTAGGTTAGGTTAGGTTAGGTTAGGTTAGGTTAGGTTAGGTTAGGTTAGGTTAGGTTAGGTTAGGTTAGGTTAGGTTAGGTAAGGTTAGGTTAGGTTAGGTTAGGTTAGGTTAGGTTAGGTTAGGTTAGGTTAGGTTAGGTTAGGTTAGGTTAGGTTAGGTTAGGTTAGGTTAGGTTAGGTTAGGTTAGGTTAGGTTAGGTTAGGTTAGGTTAGGTTAGGTTAGGTTAGGTTAGGTTAGGTTAGGTTAGGTAAGGTTAGGTTAGGTTAGGTTAGGTTAGGTTAGGTTAGGTAGGTTAGGTTAGGTTAGGTTAGGTTAGGTTAGGTTAGGTTAGGTTAGGTTAGGTTAGGTTAGGTTAGGTTAGGTTAGGTTAGGTTAGGTTAGGTTAGGTTAGGTTAGGTTAGGTTAGGTTAGGTTAGGTTAGGTTAGGTTAGGTTAGGTTAGGTTAGGTTAGGTTAGGTTAGGTTAGGTTAGGTTAGGTTAGGTTAGGTTAGGTTAGGTTAGGTTAGGTTAGGTTAGGTTAGGTTAGGTTAGGTTAGGTTAGGTTAGGTTAGGTTAGGTTAGGTTAGGTTAGGTTAGGTTAGGTTAGGTTAGGTTAGGTTAGGTTAGGTTAGGTTAGGTTAGGTTAGGTTAGGTTAGGTTAGGTTAGGTTAGGTTAGGTTAGGTTAGGTTAGGTTAGGTTAGGTTAGGTTAGGTTAGGTTAGGTTAGGTTAGGTTAGGTTAGGTTAGGTTAGGTTAGGTTAGGTTAGGTTAGGTTAGGTTAGGTTAGGTTAGGTTAGGTTAGGTTAGGTTAGGTTAGGTTAGGTTAGGTTAGGTTAGGTTAGGTTAGGTTAGGTTAGGTTAGGTTAGGTTAGGTTAGGTTAGGTTAGGTTAGGTTAGGTTAGGTTAGGTTAGGTTAGGTTAGGTTAGGTTAGGTTAGGTTAGGTTAGGTTAGGTTAGGTTAGGTTAGGTTAGGTTAGGTTAGGTTAGGTTAGGTTAGGTTAGGTTAGGTTAGGTTAGGTTAGGTTAGGTTAGGTTAGGTTAGGTTAGGTTAGGTTAGGTTAGGTTAGGTTAGGTTAGGTTAGGTTAGGTTAGGTTAGGTTAGGTTAGGTTAGGTTAGGTTAGGTTAGGTTAGGTTAGGTTAGGTTAGGTTAGGTTAGGTTAGGTTAGGTTAGGTTAGGTTAGGTTAGGTTAGGTTAGGTTAGGTTAGGTTAGGTTAGGTTAGGTTAGGTTAGGTAGGTTAGGTTAGGTTAGGTTAGGTTAGGTTAGGTTAGGTTAGGTT